CTCTCGATCTCTCCCTCTCGATCTCCCTTTCTCTCGATCTCTCCCTCTCGATCTCTCCCCTCTCTCGATCTCTCCCTCTCTCTTTCGATCTCTCCCTCTCTCTTTCGATCTCTCTCTCTCTATCTCTACCTATCGATCTCTCTCCCCCTCTTGATATCTCTCCCTTTCTCTCTCTTGATATCTCTCCCTTTCTCTCTCTCGATATCTCCCTCCTCTCTCTCTCTCTCTTGATATCTCCCCCCCCCCCCCCCCTCTCTCTCAATCTCTCCCTTTCTCTCAATCTCTCCCTCTCAATCTCTCTCTCTCTCTCCCTCTCAATCTCTCTCGATCTTCTCTCTTGATCCCTTTCTCTCGATCTCTCTCTCTCTCGATCTCCCTCTCTCTCGATCTCCCTCTCCATCCCTCTCTCTCCTTTTCTCTCTCTCGATCTCTCTCCTTTTCTCTCTCTCGATCTCTCTATCTCTAGATCTCCCTCTCTTTAGATCTCTCTACCTCTCTCTATCTCTTTCGATCTCCCTCTCCCGACCCCCCCCCCCCCCCCCTCTCGATCTCCCTCTCTATCTCTCTCGACCTCTCTCAATCTCTTTCTCTAGATCTCTCTCCCCCTCTTTCGATCTCTCTCTCCCTCTCTATAAAGAAGATGTTTAAGGATTGAATGTGAACACACATGTTTATAAGTGGACTTTTTTATATGGTTTTTTTTTTTCACTACACGTGGGCTTTAAATACTGTATATGCTTTTCACTATATGTAGATTGTTATGTATGGAATATTTGAAATAAAGAGAGGGTATTAATTGTGTTGACACTTGTGGGATTATATATAAGTTTTTGTTATGTTATTTATGGTAGTTTAAGAAACTTGCATAGGGGTTCATTTTTCTTTTTTACAAACAGATTGAGTTAGGGAATATTTTAGCACTGCACATATTTTTATATATGCTCTCAGTGTTTGATTAGCAAGGGTTCTCATTTCACATGTTTGACATACAGGTCTATCAAACTGGTTGGATCAACAGGAAAGTCTGCCTCAGTAGCTATAGGCTGCTTTTATACCTTTTTGTTTATATAAAGTAAACAAACAGAGGGCGCACCAACCTAGTGCATTATCGTAAAAACATTTATTGAAAGGATAAAAAGTAAGTATCGTACTCACAATTGACATACTGGTCAAAGGCACATCACACTAAACAGCGGTGTCCAAAACCCAGGTTGGCTCTGAGGAAGAAGCTGAGTCCTCGAAACGCGTCAGCCTGTTGGAAGTCCAGGGTTCCATTTATAGATTTATATGCAGTGTGGATTGGACATCCCTGTTTAGTGTGATGTGCCTTTGACCTGTATGGCTGTTGTGAATATGATACTTTTTATCCTTTCAATAAATATTTTTTACGATAATGCCCTAGGCCGTGCACCCTCTGTTTGTTTTCTTTGTATCCAAAACTTTCCATCCCCTGAAATGTCTGCCCTTGGTACAGACACGCAAGTTCACACACACGCGTTAAAATGGCAATTAAAGGTTAATGTCCCACATCTGTGGCTTTTTAAATTGCAATTAGTGTCAGTGTATAAATAGTCAATAAGTTTTTTAGCTGTGGATGCACTGAGTGGGCCAGATACTGAGCCATGCTCAGGTCAGACACATAAAAGCTAACAAACTGTGGTCAGCTAAGAAGAGAGCTCTTGGCTTTTATTTTACTCTTAGTGGTTATAAAGCCTAAACATATTTGTATCTTAATGCATTCTTTGCATTAAAGTAAAAAAAATGTTTTGGCATCAGTATCCCCCATCACCTCCCTCTCCCCCTTTTATCTGGTCTCACTAAACTTGCTGCAGACAGAGAGGCTCAGGAGTGAGTCAGCATGAGTGCCCCCCATAGAAAAATGCTTTCTATGGGGGCACTCAGTGGAGGGCAGGAGTCAGTAGCACCAAGAAGATGAGGTATGGGGAGACTCTGTGCTATTTTATTTCACAGAGCGGGTAAGTATAAATCTGTTATGAAAAAAAAAAAGCAATCACTTTAATGCCATAGATGGATGAGTTTTTTCGTTCAACCAGCAGGTTGAATTAAAAAACGTACCCGATTACCCCATGCACACATTCAAGGTGGATGGGGGGATCCTCCCCGCTGTGTCATTGTATTCTGAGGTGAGACTTCGCCATCAGAAGACACCGATCAGCACTGCAGGCTATAGCAGGGTGGGTTGTACAGAATTAGATCGGTAGACAACCACAGTGCTCATACATGGACTGAAATTTGACCAATTTACCAGGGATCAGCTGAATTTCGATTAACCTATGGGCAGCTTTAGGGCTCGTTCACACTTGACTTTATTTCTAACTCTTGCCAAACGCTCCTATAGCGTTTGACAGGCAATAGACAGGCGTTTTTAATGCTCCTCAAACACTCACCAAACGCCCCAAGTGCGGTTTTGAGGCGGTTGATAGGCATTTGCCAAGTGTTAAAACCGCATCACAAACGCCTATAATGAAGTTAAATGGTATTAACGCTCTGCAACCGCACCGCAAATGCCTGGCAGGCATTTGCAGAGTGGCACCGTAGTGCAGAATTTTCATAGGCGTTTGAGAAGCGTTTCTGCTGACAAAGCTAGTGTGAACTGAGCCTTACTCCTGTGTATTGCATTGTCCGTTTGAACTCCACTATCTGACTGCCATTTACTTTACTACAGCGTTTATGATCAGTAGATCCGGCGGTGCATGCGGTGATGCTGGGTTGGTGACCCATATTAACACGAGCTATATTGTACGGTGGGGATCGAACGTTTGGGCACCCCAGCTAAAAATTTGTATTAATGTGCATAAAGAAGCCAAGGAAAGATGGAAAAATCTCCAAAAGGCATCAAATTACAGATTAGACATTCTTATAATATGTCAACAAAAGTTAGATTTTATTTCCATCATTTACACTTTCAAAATAACAGAAAACAAAAAAATGGCGTCTGCAAAAGTTTGGGCACCCTGCAGAATTTATAGCATGCACTGCCCCCTTTGCAAAGCTGAGACCTGCCAGTGTCATGGATTGTTCTCAATCATTGTCTGGGAAGACCAGGTTATGTCAATCTCAAAGGTTTTAAATGCCCAGACTCAGCTGACCTTGCCCCAACAATCAGCACCATGGGTTCTTCTAAGCAGTTGTCTAGAAAACTGAAACTGAAAATAGTTGACGCTCACAAAGCTGGAGAAGGCTATAAGAAGATAGCAAAGCGTTTTCAGATGTCAATATGCTCTGTTAGGAATGTAATTAAGAAATGGCAGTCATCAAGAACAGTGGAAGTTAAAGCAAGATCTGGAAGACCAAGAAAAATATCAGACAGAACAGCTTGCAGGATTGTGAGAAAAGCAATTCAAAACCCACGTTTGACTGCACGATCCCTCCAGAAAGATCTGGCAGACACTGGAGTTGTGGTACACTATTCCACTATAAAGAGATACTTGTACAAGTATGGTCTTCATGGAAGAGTCATCAGAAGAAAACCTCTTCTACGTCCTCACCACAAAAATCATCGTTTGAACTTTGCAAATGAACATATAGACAAGCCTGATGCATTTTGGAAACAAGTTCTGTGGACCGATGAGGTTAAAATTGAACTTTTTGGCCGGAATGAGCAAAGGTACGTTTGGAGAAGAAGGGGCACAGAATTTAATGAAAAGAACCTCTGTCAAACTGTTAAGCATGGGGTTGGATCAATCATGCTTTGGGGTTGTGTTGGAGCCAGTGGCACAGGGAACATCTCATGAGTAGAAGGAAAAATGGACTCAATAAAATTTCGGCAAATTTTGGATGGTAACTTGATGCCATCTGTGAAAAAGCTGAAGTTAAAGAGAGGATGGCTTCTACAAATGGATAATGATCCTAAACACACCTCGAAATCCACAGGGGATTACATCAAGAGGCGTAAACTGAAGGTTTTGCCATGGCCTTCACAATCTCCTGACCTCAACATAATTGAAAATCTATGGATAGACCTTAAAAGAGCAGTGCGTGACAGACAGCCCAGAAATCTCAAAGAACTGGAAGACTTTTGTAAGGAAGAATGGGCAAAGATACCTCAAACAAGAATTGAAAGACTCTTGGCTGGCTACAAACAGCATTTACAAGCTGTGATACTTGCCAAAGGGGGCAGTACAAGATATTAACTCTGTAGGGTGCCCAAACTTTTGCAGACGCCATTTTTTTGTTTTCTGTTATTTTGAAAGTGTAAATGATGGAAATAAAATCTAACTTTTGTTGACATATTATAAGAATGTCTAATCTGTAATTTGATGCCTTTTGGAGATTTTTCCATCTTTCCTTGGCTTCTTTATGCACATTAATACAAATTTTCAGCTGGGGTGCCCAAACTTTCGATCCCCACTGTATGTTTGAATTATATAGAATCTAACATGTATGTATACATTTTGTTGAAGAGATTTTAAAGTGCTCCTTAAACTCCTGAAAAAGCATTGACAAACTGCAAAACATGTAGAGATGTGAACTTAGCTGTCCATGCCTTATCCATCTACAATTTCAACATACTAACTGACCCTACTATTTACATCTTGTGATCAGTGGTCATAGTGGGAAACTCATGGCAGCTTCTGGGAGCTGATATGTATAATTTGTGCATTTTTAATTCATTTGAATTTTGTATTAATAAAGAGGATTTTTTAAATACTTTTTAACTATTGGATTATGTGTAATCTATGATGGTACCAACAAAATCCACAAACTCTCCCTCACCCTTTAACATGCTTTGGAATTGATAGGATGAAGGTACCACTTTATTGTGCTGCACTCATATTGGAACATTTAAACATTTGACCTGTTTCCTTACTCCCAAAAGAAATTACTTTCCTAAAAAAACCAGTGCAATCACATCACCCATGACAACAGCAACAATACCCCTACAAACTAAGGAGACCAAGATCAACTCAGCATGCCCAACCTTGGCTCAGGGTGGCCGAGAGCAATACGTTCTGTCTTTGCTGGCTCTGAGAGTTGAGGGCGTTCAAAATGGTGGTGATGTCTTTCTGAAATCCCAGGTCCAGGATTCTGCAAAAAGTATGATGGGCATTATAAAAGGCATGCACAAAATCTTCATGGAGAAGCATTTAACCGCGTCCCGACCGCCCTATAGCAGATATATATATATATATATATACACAATTTTGTATTTCCGGGTAGGGGGGCGGCTACAGATGTCGATCACCGCGTCCCAACTGGAGATTCCCCGTTGGCACCCTTCGATCGCCAAGGAACACTGACAGGGGAGAGGTCTGTATGTAAACAATACAGATCTCTCCCCTGTCAGCTCCAGCATGCTGCTCTGTATTGCTCTGCATAGCAGAGCAATACAAAGCAGCATGCTTACACAGTAGGACACAGCACATAGTAAAACACAAACAGTTAACCCTTTGATCGCCCCAGATGTTAACCCTTTTCTGCCCAGTGTCATTAGTACAGTGTCAGTGCTTTTTATTAGCATTGATCACTGTATTAGTGTCACTGGGGATGTCAGTGACAGTTAGTCAGTTCTCCCCTGCCATTGGTGGCTACAGCTGTCGATCACCAGGTCCCGGACGAAGATTCCCTGCTGGCACCCGGTGATCGCCGAGGAACACTGACGGGGAGAGGTCTGTACGTAAACAACGCAGATCTCTCCCCTGTCAGCTCCAGCATGCTGCTTTGTATTGCTCTGAATAGCATAGCAATACAAAGCAGCGCACTTACACAGTAAAACACACACAGCACACCGTTAACCCTTTGACATAGCAGATTAATACAAAGCAATGTGCTGACACAGTGAAACACACACACAGCACATAGTAAAAACAGCACACAGTTAACCCTTTGATCGTCCCAGATGTTAATACCTTCCTGCCCAGTGGCATTAGTACAGTGCCAGTGCTTTTTATTAAAACTGATTGATATATTAGTGTCACTGGGGATGTCAGTGGCAGTTAGTCATTTCCCACCCAGTGTCAGAATGCCCCCCCGCAGTCCTGCTATAAGACGCAGATCGCCGCCATTACTAGTAACAAAAAAAAAATTCCAGTATATATACCGCCATTTGTAGATGCTATAACTTTCACGTAAACCAATTAATTTACACGTGTCGGGATTTTTTTTAGGAAAGACGTCGCAGAATACATTTTGGCCTAAATTTATGAAGAAATTTGATTTTTTGCATTTTTTACTGGATATGTTTTATAGCAAAATGTCAAAAATATTGTCTTTTTTTTCAAAATTGTCGATCTTTTTTTGCTTATAGCACAAACAATAAAAAACACAGAAGTGACCAAATACCACCGAAAGAAAGCTCCATTTGTGAGGAAAAAATTACATATATTTAATTTGCATGCAGCGTTGCATAACCGCGCAATTGTCAACACGATGCCATATCGCAAAAAATGGCCTGGTCAGGAAGGGGTGCAAGTGGTTAATTTGACAAAAAACGATGGTGGGCAACCAATCGAGGTTTGCAAATCATATATGCAGCCCATTTCTAAGGGTGCTAACTGACTAGCTGAGAATTAAATCAGCATTAAAAAATCCCTGAAGCTGTTAAATTTCATGCATTACATATCTAGTGGATGGTAGCTTTCAGGAACTATAATGAGGTTATTTTTTGGCTTCCACCGTCGATTAAATTGGAGTTTTGATTACCTAAACGGCAACTGTTTACCATTTTCAATGAAATTAAATGAAAATCCCAAATTTTGGGTTGTCCCCATAAAAGTAATATAATAATAATATTATTATTATTATTATTAATAATAATAATAATAATAATAATACTACAGGCAGTCCTCGAGTTGCTTACATCCAATTTACATCCGACTCATAATTACAAATGGAGGAAGACAACAGGAAGTGAGAGGAAATCTACCCCTAGGAAGGGAGAGTTATCATGGGAAAAAGGTGTCTTCACTGAACCTTTATCACCAATCCTAGTTTCCATGACAACCCAAAATTTTCAAAATCCAATTGTCACGGACAGAAAGTGAGGTGAAATCTTCTGAACAGGGGCACAGACAGAAAAACAAATGTTACAGGGGTAACGTTTCCCTATGCTATCCAAAAAAAACCTTGAAAATAATTTTTTTGGCTGGAGTTATACTTAAAAAATGTACTTGTTCCATCTTACATACAAGAACAAACCTACAGAACCTATCATGTTTATAACCCGGGGACTGCCTGTAGAGGGGAGATCTTCCAATGGGGACACTAATTCTAGTGACCTGGGGTCCCAAGAAATTCCCCTAATTTTCTCTCACTTCCTGTTTGGCTATGGGACAGGAAGTGAAGGGATATCTCCACAATGGGACACAGATGGACAGAGGTTATAACCCTTCCTTGCTCGATCCATAATGAAAAAAAAAGTTTTGCCTATAACTTGACTTAAAAAAAAAAAAAAGCACTAAACTAATTTCCAAGTCATCTTTCATAACATCTTCTTTTTATTATATAAAGGAAGAAAGAAGCATTTTTTTTTTAAATAGAGGTAAAGCAGTGAGCAATCACCTGTCGGCTTCATCCACTATGAGCCATTGGATACAAGTAAAATGCATGCTCTTAGTTGAGTTGATATGATCGACCAACCTCCCCGGAGTGGAGATCAGGATGTTTATCCCCTTTCGTAACCTAGAAAATAACACAGTAATATGAATGTCTCTACTATAGTAATCATCCATCCCTATCTTGATGGCAAAGTAAACTATTTATTTCCTGAAAGAATCTTCTGCATGCCATCTCTAATGCCAGTCATGCCACCAGACACCACCAAATTCTCAGCACAGAGGAGAAGTAGCATTTATAGACTTACCAGACTGCACTGGGTTTTGATTCTGGCACAAGAGTGAGGGTAGAGCAGCAATACCCTAGGGTACTTTTAACAAAATGGGGCAGGACAGAGATGGGTTAAGTCAGGGGTGATATCTATTATTTAATTTTTTTTTTATTTTATATTTTAATATTATGACCAACTTTTTGAAGAGCAGGTACCACTCAAGTGATTTGGTAACCGGCCACAATGATATAAAATGGTTCAGAATTTAAAATTTTGTATTATGAATAACATAATAAACATTTTTCCCAGCAGCCGCTGAATGCCAGCAGAAGACGAAAAAGTCGGCTTTCAGCAGTTGCAGGAGGAAAATGGAGAGGATCGGTTCTTGTATATGCCCCCTCACCGCCCCTCCTGTCGGGTCGCATGGGTCCCCTGAAGCATGGGGCAGGGTGGCCATTGCAACCCCTGATGCTACACAAGTGGTTGCGGGTGTGTGGCTAAAAATCACCTGCTCTCCCAAGCCACAAATGTAAACAAGCCCTTACTGTCCTGATTGCCCTATAAGGGTGCATTCACAATGACACCCTGCGGTTTACCTGCACTGCGAGTGCAGTGCAGTGCATCTACGGCTTTCCTGCGGGTAAGCTGCGCTGTTGCATAGACTTTTATTGTAAGTTGTGGGTGGGGTGCACTTTCTGAACGTTTGAGGGCCACAGACTGAGCAGCCCTCGAGTTAACTGCTATAGTGTAAGGCTGCTTAAAGGAGAAATCCAGTACAGGGCACCAACAAAAATACATTTGAAACAAGTGAAAATCCAGCTAAATACATTCTTTTTAGAAAGCAGCCACAGCATGAGTAGTAAAACATGTCTACTGCCAGCATGCTGCACTCATGGACCCTTGCTCCCCATGCTGAAGCAGTGGTCTTTCTGCAAAGGTCTGGCACACCCCTTGTTGAGCCAGCTAAAGCTCCCCAGTCAGTACAGCACATGCTCCCTTCTGATGAGAGAGTTCCAGATCTGATTGTGAAGGGGATGTGCCTGACCTCTGCAGAGAGACCACTGCTTCCACATAGAAAGCAAGGGTCCTTCTCCACAGCATGCTGGCAGGGGACAGGCTTTTCTAATCACATTGCGGCTACTTACTAAGGAGTATGAACTGCACGACTTTGCACACTTTGGGTCCTTCCACAAGGGCGTTCCGTTTTTTTTCCTTCAGTTCAGTCATGTTTTTTCAAAGAAAAAAAGGATGAGTTTACATCCGTTTTTTGATCCGATTACATCCATTTTTTTCATACGTTTTTCATCTGTTTACATCCGTTTTTTTTCACCCATTTACATCTGTTTTTCATCCGTTTAGATCCATTTTTCATCAGTTTTCAACCATCTACATAAGTTTTTGGTCCGTTCCGGGGTTTTTTGCGAAAGAAAAATAGGGTTTTTTACCGTTAAAAAAAACGGAATTTAAGGGATGTGGACATTAACGGATGTAAAAGATGTTCATCCGTTTACACTCGCAAGTCCATAGAGATACATGGGGGTCCGTTTTTCATCCGTTAACGGACAGATGAAAAACGGACATATGGAACGCCCGTGTGAAAGAGGCCTTTTTGTTTTGATGTACCTGGAATGTAATTCGCTGATTCAAACTGAAAGTTCAGTTGGAATTTAATTAAAAGCTCACTTTAAAATATAAAAAATGGGGGGAGCTCTGAAAAGATGACAAGATGGGGAGGTCATAATTTGACAGGAAGATTACACAACAAAGCCCCCAAGATATTTAAGTAGATAATGTGTGTCTCATTTCACTTGCATCTGCCCATACATTAAATGAGTTTTGGGAGGACTAGCTGCTTAACATCTTGCCTACCAAGGTACATTTATAAATGTCCTGCTATTCAAGGGGTTAATGCAAGCGAACAAGCTTGGTACACATTTTTACAGCCAGCAATGGGCTTCCAGGAGATCCTTTCTATGGTGGTTCCGAAGGTGTGCAACCCTCACCCACCCTGTCGCCGGCAGTAGTCTCTGGCTTTCTCGTTTCTCCAGGGAGCCACAGGATCGCAGAAAACTGCAGTAACGTTGACAGCAGGAGGTGATTGAGGAATATTAAAGTGGTTCTAAAGCCTTAAGAATTTTTACCTTAATGGATTTCCTGCATTAAGGTAAAAAACCTTGTGTGCCCAGCCCCCACTTATTACTTACCTGAGCTCAATCCAGATCAAGTGCTGTGTTCTCTCCCTCCTCATAGGTCAGATCAATAGCATCAAGAGCCATTGGCTGCTGCTGCTGTCAATCGAATTCTGTGAGGAGGGAGCAGGGGGGGGGGGGCTGAGCCACGCTGCCTGTGTCTACTGTATAGATGCAAGCGGCATGGCTCAAGATGCATGTGGATCCCCATAGGAAGCGGCGGAGGTGAGCCAGAGGTGGAGCCAGGAGCACCCACAGGGAACCCAAAAGAAGAGGAATGGGGCTGCTCTGTGCAAAACAATTACACAGTGCAGGTAAGTAGCACGTTTTTTTTTTTAACAATCACTTTACAAAATTGTCCCAGTTGACAAGCAGTTAAAAGTAAAGTGCCTGCATCAAGCAGGCCACCGTTACCTGGCTTTTTCTGATTTCCTCTTCTCTCCTCCCATTAAAACTCCCGGTACAATCCAGCTGAACGGCTAAAAACAGCACCAAACAAAACAGTTTTCACAACACATTTCAACCCAATTTTGAATGAAGTTATTGCATAAAAAGTCATTAGATTGATTAAAAAATGTATGGATGTGTTTCTAATCATATGCAATATCAACACCTATTAGCATTTATAAGAAATAACATTGCTTCTTTCAAAAATATGAAAAAAATTTACCAGCCGCACTCTACTCTTAGCTCCTCTTGCTGTATTTATTAGCTGTCAACACAATGACTGCAAACAACCTGAGAACCAACTTTCCTTGATGCATTTCATCATTTCAGCCAGGAAATGTGAAATGCGTAAACGAAGGTTGGTTCCTCACTGGAGACAATGTTGTATTCAGGAACTTGGAGTGGAGTGCGGCTGATACATTTATTCAAAGTTCTGATGGGGAGTGAAGATGGACTACAGTGGCCAGCACCCAAGTTGTCCATGTATAGGAGGGGCGAGTATTGAGTAGAGCTGTGGATTTGGGTTTATTTCTATTACTTCTTTAAACTTAAAGCGGAGTTCCTCCCTCACACTGTAAAAAAATAAAAGTCAGCAGCTACAAAAACTGTAGCTGCTGACTTTTGGAAAACAGCCACTCACCTTTCCCACGATCCCACGGTGTCCCCCCCACAGCCCGTTTCACTAGCTGTCTGGTGTTCCTGGCACCGACATTTTCAGTGTGAGCACCCGCCTGTGACAGCTTGCGGCTTCACAGCCAGGTGCCCACTGCGCATTCGGGTCCAGCGCTGGACACATCATAGAAACATAGAAAACTGACTGCAGAAAAAGACCGAGTGGTCTATCGCGTCTACGTTTTTTTTTTTTTGTTTTAATTTTTTTTGTTTGTTTTTGTTTTGTGAACTTTTTTGTCTGAATATAGATCTACGCTTGTCCCAAGCATGTTTGAAGCTATTTGCTGTTGACTGGCTCACTACCTCTGCTGGAAGTTTATTCCAAGCATCAACTACTCATTCAGTAAAATAGTACTTTCTGAGATTAGTTTTGAACTTTCCTCCAGTTAGTTTAAGTTCATCTCCCCGTGTCCTTGATTTTGGTTTTGTGTTGAAAATGCTGCCCTCCTGAACCTTATTCACCCCCTTGATGTATTTAAACATTTCAGTCATATCTCCCCTTTCCCTTCTTTCCTCCAGACTACATAATAAGTTCCTGAAGTCGCTCTTGATATGTTTTATCGCCCAGATCTTTCACCATTTTTGCTATCTGTCTCTGGACTCGTTCTATCTTATCAATATCTTTTTGTAAGTGAGGTCTCCAGAACTGGACACAGTACTCTAAATGAGGTCTAACTAAAGATCAATATAGGGGAATCAGGACCTCCTTCCTCCTGCTGGTGACCCCTCTAGTGATAACTAAAAATCTATATAGGGGAATCAGAACCTCCTGCCTCCTGCTGGTGACCCCTCTAGTGATAACTAAAGATCTATATAAGACAATCAGGACCTCCTTCCTCCTGCTGGTGACCCCTCTAGTGATAACTAAAGATCTATATAGGGGAATCAGGACCTCCTTCCTCCAGCTGGTGACCCCTCTAGTGATAACTAAAGATCTATATATGGGGGAATCAGGACCTCCTTCCCCCTGCTGGTGACCCCTCTAGTGAGAACTAAAGATCTATATAGGACAATCAGGACCTCCTTCCTCCTGCTGGTGACCCCTCTAGTGATAACTAGAGATCTATATAGGGGAATCAGGACCTCCTTCTTCCTGCTGGTGACCCCTCTAGTGAGAACTAAAGATCTATATAGGACAATCAGGACCTCCTTCTTCCTGCTGGTGACCCCTCTAGTGATAACTAAAGATCTTATATAGGAGAATCAGGACCTCCTTCCTCCTGCTGGTGACCCCCTCTAGTGATAACTAAAGATCGATATAAGGGAATCAGGACCTCCTTCCTCCTGCTGGTGACCCCTCTAGTGATAACTAAAGATCTTTATAGGAGAATCAGGACCTCCTTCCTCCTGCTGGTGACCCTTCTAGTGATAACTAAAGATCTTTATAGGAGAATCAGGACCTCCTTCCTCCTGCTGGTGACCCCTCCAGTGATAACTAAAGATCTGTATAGGAGAATCAGGACCTCCTTTCTCCTACTGGTGACTCCTCTAGTGATAACTAAAGATCTATATAGGACAATCAGGACCTCCTTCCTCCTGCTGGTGACCCATCTAGTGATAACTAAAGATCTATGTAGGGGAATCAGGACCTCCTTCCTCCTGCTGGTGACCCCTCTAGTGAGAACTATAGATCTATATAGGAGAATCAGGACCTCCTTCCTCCTGCTGGTGACCCCTCTAGTGATATATCCCTTGCATTAAGAGGCTCTAGGATGGCAGCTTCTACAAAGGTGTAATGACATTTTACCATGTACATCTGGTGCAAAGTTACACTACTGCTGAAAAGAATATACTGAATGTTAAAGAAGCTCCCTTGCCAATTATTAAGACTGGACTAGATCTAATGATTGCCCATTTTTAGATCTTTCTACAGCTCAACTAGAACTTTGTATATCATACAATCCCATTGTACAGGTAGCAGTCAGCTTCAAAGGAGATGTAATTATTCACTCATTATACAGACCTTAAGCAGCTTCTGAATGGTGGTGAAACTCTGCAGGGCCAGCTATGAAGCAGAAAATGACAAAACAAAACCAATTCAGCTTTCCAGATGTCCTTACAGGGCATTCAGCCACAGAAACATTTGTAAATGAATGCAATATGCAATATTAAAGAGCCTGCTATTTGTACGCAGTACCCAGAATGCACCTCCCCACGGTCAACCCCAAGCCATAAAGAAACATCTCCTCACCTCTCTTGTGGGGACTAAAACAAGGGCATAAGGTCCGTTGCTGCGCTGTTATAGAGGAGAAGAAAAATGTTAGCAGTTTTCTATAATGTAATATTCATATAATATTCATATATAATATAGTATTCAACTAAGGCTGCTTTCACACTGATCCATTGCAAAACGCAGTCTAAACACAAATGCATTTTCGGGTGCATATTCTGGTTTCCTTCACCTGTGAAAAATGGACAAGTGACAAAAAAGGCACCACAAATGCAAACCCGGTGTGTTTTTTTTATACATTTTTTCTGCTTTTTCTATACATTTCATCGTGGAGGTGCATTTTTTTAACATACACCAAAAATACACCAAAAATGCAGCTGGCAGAACTCTTAATAAAGCAACTGAAGCACAACTTACTGGTGTGAAGAATTCCATAAGATTTAAAGGGATGCATTTTTCTTCCGCTTTTTTAACTGAAAAACTGATCAGTGTGAAAGGGCATTCTCACAAAAAAAAAGTCTTAAAAAATGAAGTGCAGACAACAAAAAAGCTCATTATATCTGGTGTGAGCTTTTTCCCTGCTGCATGAACTGATTGTACATATGGCAGTTTATTTACACTGTTTGGTAACTAATTTCAATAAAATACAAGACGTTTTTGGTGGAGTTAGATTTAATCACAAACTGCTTTTGCACGTTAAAATGTACATTTTAGGCCTGAAAATTAGTTAACCCCCTCCCCCAAAGAGTATACAGTATATTTTCTGAACGCAAGGACCCTGGAGAACAAAATGGTGGCATATGCATTTTTTTTTTAATGTCTCATATTAGTGCACATGTTAATCAAAAACAAAGAAAAAAAATACAGGTGTACCTCAGTTTACAAACGCCTCGGTTAACGTAGTTTTCAGTTTCGAATGAAAATCCATTGAAAATAATGCCTCGGTTTACAAATACTGTATATTTCACAATATGAACGGATTAATTGGTTTTCAATGCATTTACGAATTTTTTTTTAATCATGTCCCTGTACAGTATTTATGCCTTTAAAGTGCACTTTATAAAGAGTTTTGAACAGATAAGACTTTTTTTTTTATTTTTTTCTGACCTCCGGAAACGGATTAATTGGTTTTCATTGCATTCCTATGGGAAACCGCATTTTGATTTACAAATTTTTCACAATATGAAACGTTCCGGAGAACGCATTAACTTTGAAAACCGAGGTACGCCTGTATATTTTCTGAAAGCAAAGACCCTGGAGAACAAAATGGTGGTATATGCAATTTTTTATGTCTCATATTAGTGCAAATGTTAATCAAACAGAAAGAAAAAAAAAATACAGGCGTACCTCGGTTTACGAACACCTCAGTTAACGTAATTTTCGGTTTACGAATGAAAATTCATTGAAAAAATAATGCCTCGTTTACAAATTTTTTTCGCAATATGAACCGATTAATTGGTTTTCAATGCATTTATTTTTATTTTAAATTATGTCCTTGTACAGTATTTATGCCTTTAAACTGCACTTTATAAAGAGTTTTGAACAGATAAAAGACATTTTTTTTACTTTTTTCTGACCTCCGGAACGGATTAATTGGTTTTCATTGCATTCCTATGGAAAACCGCATTTCGGTTTACGAATTTTTCACAATACAAAACGTTCCAGAGAACGCATTAAATTCGAAAACCGAGGTACGCCTGTATATTTTCTGAAAGCAAAAACCCTGGAGAACAAAATGGTGGTATATGCAATTTTTTATGTCTCATATTAGTGCAAATGTTAATCAAACAGAAAAAAAATAATATACAGGCGTACCAGAAAAAAAAATACAAAAAAATAAAGTAAGGGAGGGCTTATAACTCCTGTCAATTCTTTTTTCTATCTGTCTCCCATTGTACATATTTCCCTTCTCTTCCTGTCCAATAACCTAAACCGGCAGTGAGAGAAAATATCCTCCAAAGTGATCTTTCAATGATCTTTCACCAGGGTCACCAAAACTAGTGTCCCCAATGGAAGATTTTCCATTTATTCCTGTTCTGGGGAGAACCCAAAATTTGGAATTTTCTTCTACTTTCAGCTTTGGTTACTGTAAATAGGACAAATAGAGAAAGTGAATCTCCCTAACAAGGGCACAGGCAGCATTAAAAACCTGAAAGAGATCTAACACATCTCCACAATATCCAAAACAAAAAAAAAAAAAATTTGCCTTTAGTTATACTTTAATTTTAAAAGTGATAATGAAGGTAATTAAAAAAATAACAAACATGTTATAGTTACCTGCTCTGTACAATGGTTTTGTACAAAGCAGAGCCATTCTTCCTCTTCTTGGGTCACCCACCTGCACTCCTGGCCACTCCTTCCTACAGGGTGCACCCATAGCAAGCAGCTTGCTATGGGGGCACTCAAGCAAGCTTGCTCTCGAGCCGCTGCTCTGCATGTCCATTCACACAAAGAGCCGTGGCTTGGCCCCGCCCCCTCTCTCTCTCCACATTGGCTCAATGTTTGGGATTGACAGCAGCCTGTCTCAGCCAATGAGGAGGGAGTATTCTTGGACAGCTGAAGCTCTTGTGCACATCACTGGATCCTGATGGAGTTCAGATAAGTATTTGGGGGGGGCTGCTACACACAGGTTTTTTACCTTCATGCATAGAATGCATGAAGATAGAAAACTATGAGTCTTTAGAACCACTTTAAAGCGCACACACAAAACAATATATTACCCAATTCTTTTTTGCAAAACATAAAGACAACATTTGTAGATACCTGACATGTCAAGTCTTATAACGGTGATGAACTTTGGTAACTCAAACTTGTTATGTTATAGAGTAATCAGTTTACAGTTCATCATGAATAATGTCCCTAGAATGATTGCTCTTATGCCATATGTGTAGAGCAACTGTCTTTTTCTTATGTAGATGCAGCAGCTACATGAGTTTATGTCCTGATGTCTGTGTTTTTTTTATATTTTTTCTTTTAACTTTGTTTTATTTAGTTTTTTTGTTACAGCAACTTTGTTGCAATCACAACAGCCACATATGTAATGGCATTTTGCTGTGACAGGTTTTCTTTATTGAGCCATCAGGGGTCTATTAGATCCCTGATGCCTCCCCTGACTTCAGCTGAAGCTAATGGAGCACACATCATGCTCCATTAGCTTCTTTCCTGGCCACTGTAGCTGGGGAAAGTGACAGCCAAACACAGGAGTGACATACTACAACTTGCTCCCATGTTTATTCATTAGAGATGATGGACGGTTTATAAAAGGCGTTGGAAGATTAGTGGTAACTTGATGGATCCACTTTCCTGGAGTTCTGCAGTTCCGAGCTACAATTTGCTGTTTATGAGAAATTTTTAAATCAGTAATGGACAGCATTTGCCCACAGACTGATTGTAGGTACCAGATACATTTACGGAAAAATTAAAGTGGAGTTCCACTCACAAAATAAAAAAATAAAAGTCAGCAGCTACAAAAACTGTAGCTGCTGACTTTTAAAAAACAGCCACTCACCTGTCCCACGATCCCGCAGTGTCCTCCCCGCAGCCCGTTTCACTAGCCATCTGGTATTCCAGGCGCCGGCATCTTTAGTGTGGGCACCCAGCTGTGACAGCTTGTGGCTTCACAGCAAGGTGCCCACTGCGCATGCGCTTCCTGAATGGCCTGTAGTCTTCTGGGACCTGTCATGTGTTCCAGAAGACTACAGGGAGGGAGGGTAGGAGGACAACTTTTGCTTCCGAACGCCTAGGCGATCGCAGCAGAAGTGGGAGCAGGTACCTGCCAATTTCGGGTACCCGCTCCCCAAAGGTGCCAATCCTTAATGGGGAACGGGGGACCAGTCTTTAAAGTGTAATTTCCCCTTTTCAGTGGAGCTCCACTTTAATAAACATATGATCCGTGTATTCCTAAGTTGCACACTACCTAGAGCGTTTTTTTTTTTATTACTAAAAAAAAAATATATATATATTTCATGTACGACACTGGCAACCAGAAGATGATGCTTTAAATACAACATAACTAGCTTGCTGTTGCTCAAATAAAAAAAAAAACTGCTGTGAAGGAGCAGGAGAGCTCAGATTACACACACAGCTAGGCGTTGAATTGGAGGGGGGCTTTATATTGTTACTGCTTGTTTAGTATACACTTACCTGTATTTTAGGGGTTACTGCTTGAAGTGACTGTACAAGTGGAATACCATAAGCTAAAGTCTTCCCTATAAAGAAATCCAAGACACATATATTTAGGCATGTTGTTTCCACTAAAGTGTACCTGTCTTCATACACAATATACACAGAATGTTCCTCTCTGCTACTACGTTTTGTTTGATGAGCAACAGCTACATGTAAAATTTTAAAGACCAGCTTCAAGCAAGTAAAAACGATCAGTGAGCTGCTAATTCTGTACAGCAAACAATCTAAAAAAGATTTCTCAATTCCTGATGGTGCCAAAGCTTTCTGCTCCAGGACAATTCTGTTGGCCATTGAGGCTACCTAGGATAGTGATGGGCTGACATGAATATGCAGGGAGCTAAAGAGAGCAGCACGCTCAATATATATTTTTTAAAATATATTCTTCAGATTTTTTTTAACATATAAACATTCCAAAAATGTAGATTTGTATTTTTAAAGACATACAGTATATTTGAAATTTATTTTAAAAATATTTTGTAATAAAAACGCATTTCAACATGCAGTGTATATATATTAAAATATATTGAATATGGCCAAAATCGTAGCATTTCAAATATATGGCAAATATATTTGGGAAGAATATTTTTAAAATATATTTCAAATATATTTTTCTTTTTCTTAGGGTATGCTGCTGCTACAGGTATGTGTAGGCACTTTTTATCATCATTAGTCTTTCTATTTTTTATGACAAGATCTCTTTAACCCCTTCACGCCTAAGGGTAAAACAAATCTTAACGCCTAAGCACAATTTTGCAACTTTGACGTGTTAGCAAAACATTACATATCATCACAACTACTTTGTACATCCAGGTGAATTATACCTTGTTTTTTTCAGGACAAATTGGGCTTTTATCTGGTGGTAAATGGTAATGGATATCTCCTATTTTTTTTTTTTACCAAAGGAAAACTGGCCCGAAATAGTAAAAAAAAAAACCCTTTTTTAAATTTAGCTGTATATTTCTTGCTACTACCATAACCTACCATCAAAGAACAACCAAAAATAATTTTTCTGATCCTGGCGATCGCAACGATACCATATCATGTGTGTATGCTAGTTGCTGTTTGTACCTCTAGTACAACCCAGAAACCATAGTGCACAATTTGCTTCTTTTTTTTTTTTTTATTCTGCCACTAACTGACACTGATACTAATTAAAAAATTAAAAAGAAAAAACCTGACTCAAAAAAAAAAAAAAATAACCCTGACCCTTGACCAAAACATTAACCCTGGCACCATCACACTTTGATCTAGGTATTTTTGTTTATTCTTATATTATTTTTATTTATTCATTTATTTATTTATTTACACACACTTGTATTTTCTCCCTCTCTGAGAGATACAATGTATCTCTCTCCTCCATTCAGAGAGAGAAAAAAGGGGGGCGGGCTTTACAGTGACCGATCACTGTGATAGCCAACCAGAGGTTGACCTGGAATCAGGATTTCTGGGTCCCGATTGTTAGAACGGGACCCGAGGCTCTCAGTGACACCCTGGTCTTCATGCTGGGAGCCCAGCAGAAAGACAGTTATGCAAATTAGCGGCCCCATGGTAAAAAAGCCCAGTTCTGTGAGGCCGCTAATTTGCAAACAGTAGGCGTCAAGGGGTTAAAAGACAAGTCCTTGTTTAATAAATGCAGCTATACCCCGCTGAGGCTGCCTACTTGGTATGATGCTAAGCCTGACCATACATTGTAAGATTTCTATCGTTCAACCCCACCGGGCAGATGATGACTGGACAAATCCCTCCTGCCGCTATTGTATTGTAACAGCTTGCACCTGCGGCTGTCAGAATACCTTAACAGTGGCTGCATCTGATTGGATGCGGACGCTGTTCGTCAAACATATTCCTGCTTTTTTGTAGCTCGTAAGATGGCAGGGGGGAGGGTGCACACAAAAACACCCGCAGTTCAAACTTCAGCTGGTTTGTCAGGAACCGGCTGAAATTCACTCCATGTATGGTCAGCTTTACCTTTGTTCTCAATCCAGTGATCGTCAGTGCATGCCCCATTGCACAGTGCAGAGCCTTACTTTTGAAATGATCCTTGCTGGGTCCCCTTCAGCCTGTGCATGTACTCTGTTGCCCTACTCATTTCTATGCGGAGCCGCACTCATGGTAGCCTCCAGCAGTCCTGCAATGTATAGCTTTCCCTATAGTAATGAATGGGGCTGTGGTGTGCAAGAATGGGCTGAAGCAGGACCAGATCAATAAAATAAAAAATATATCTGCACTAAGATGAAAAAACTCAATGTAAAGCAGCTGTTATACACTGTGACACCAAGTAAAAAAACATAAAAACAAAATAACAGAGCTAGTATTAAATAAAGCAATAAAACCAAAAATGTCATCATTTATAATAAATTACATACAATGAATAGAAATAAAATAAGAGTGTCCATGTGAAAGCCGAATTCAAGTGACAAATAAAGTCCCTTCTTCTCCAAAGAATATCAAGTGCAATCTAGGTGTCGACAATATCCCACAATGTGAAAAAACTCCTCCGTATATAGATGTCAGAGCCTCTTACCAGACAAGATGGACCATGAAATTATAAATGGTCATAGAACGCTCAGCTCGAAGATGTGCAATCACAATCTCATCATAGTAGACCAGCAGCCATAAAGGACGATACTCCAAAATGGTTGAACCATTAAAAGGTGAAGGCAGTGGCACTGCCGGTGATGGTGCAGTGCCTGCTATCTGCAGATAGACCGCATCGTTTGGCTTCCCCTCCAGCCGCTGCTAGCCACCATGGACTATCGTCCTTTATGGCTGCTGGTCTACTATGATTAGATTGTGATCGCACATCTTCGAGCTGAGCTTTAGGACCAGATCAGGCCTGTCTGATCTGGGGGTGCAGGTAAAAAAAAAAAGTCAGAGGGGCATAATATCAACACACTATTGTTTTATTCTCTCCTCTCCCCATTCCCTACATCTCTATGTGACTGCAATGAAAAAGACACGTATTAGGCCAGTGTTTCTCAACCTTTTTTATAGTCATGGTACCCTTTAAAAAAATATGCAAAATCTTGAGACACCCCAGTCCTGAACCGTATTTACTGGGCTAAAGGACACTGACATCTGCACAAGATGACGATGTCGCCCACTCCTTAGCACCCCATGGGGGAGTTCCTCCTTTACATCAGCACTTTGGAGTCAGCCCCTTTCACATCACCGTCCCCCATTACATCACCTCCTTCAAATCAGAGTCCCATCTTCCTATTGGAGTCCCCCCATCAGAACAGACAGCCTCCATTACAACAGTGCCCATCCTCCATCACAACAGTCCTTCCCATTGCAACAGATTCCCCCCATTCCCCCATCACAATAAAGTCCCCCTTCACAAATAGCAATAAATGATGCCATGCATCCTGGATTCCCCCCCACCGTACCACTGATGAGCAGTGGATGCACACTGCACACTGGTGCACACTGCCCACCTACTTCCCGATGTCACTGGTCCTGGGGGTTCACTACTGAAATCTGGGGGGGAAAAGCTCACACCCCAGCACCCTCCTAGATCCAGCCCTGGACTGAAGAGGACCAGGCATGAACATTTCCAGAAGCCAGGCTATGCTGCACCCAATGAGGCTGCACAGTGAAGACTGTTGGATCAAAGATGGAGGTGACTAGCGGACTATGTGGGCTGCACCCTGGGCCGTGGAAAGGGGGGTACCACCAGTTCTCCTGCACAGGGCCCAGGCCAGCAGGGAAAGGAGTGGTTGGGGGGGTTTAGGCAGCTGGGTGAATCAGGAAGGGTGACTGGCATGATGGGGGAGGCAATTACTGGAACCAATCCCCTGTATCGACTGGTTCTTCTCCTCTCCCTCCCACCAGCTTTTAGCTGCTGCAGAGAGAGTCATTCAGGGGATCAGAGGATAATATGCTCCTAATCACCCTCCCTGTGCACCATGCGTTTCCCCCTACTGCTCAGGCCCCCCCTTTGTGCCCCCCTCCCCCACAGTGCTGCCAGCTTCCCTCCTCTCCTTCCCACCAGCAGCTGCAAGCACACAATAAGATCCTTCAGGATGGAAAGTGGGGGAAGGGTCCAGTAAATATGTCATATATTTACTATCCCCTTCCTTTTCTGAGTGAACACAATGAGTGCCCAGTACCAATTACTCACTGTGTTCGTTCGCAACTGAAGCATAGTAAACAGTGTTTTTTTGGGGGGCCTTGTCAGGTTGGCTGTATGGGGCCACATGTTTTCTATCAGCAGCCCTGGCTGCACCCTTTAACCACTAGCCTACAGGGCACTTATACCCCCTTCCTGCCCAGGCCAATTTCCAGCTTTCAGCGCTGTCACACTTTGAATGACAATTGCACGGTCATGCAACACTGTACCCATATGAATTTTGTATAATTTTTTTTGTGACAGATAGAGCTTTATTTTGGTGGTATTTACTCACCTCTGGGATTTTTTCTTTTTTCTTAAACAAACCAAAAACCACCAAAAACTTTGAAAAAAAAACCCATTTTTTCTTAGTTTTTGTTATAAATTTTGTAAATAAGTGATTTTTCTCATTCACTGATGTGCGCTAATGAGGCTGTAGTGATGGGCACTGATAGGCTGCACTGATGGGCATTGATGAGGAGGCATTGGTAGGTGGCACTGATGGGCACTGACAGGCATCACTGATAAGCACTGATATATGGCACTGATATGTGTCACTGATAGGCGGCACTGACTGGCACTGATAGGCGGCACTGACTGGCACTGATAGGCGGCACTGAAAGGCAGCTCAGATGGGCACTGAAATGTGGCACTGATAGGCACTGGCAGGTGGCATGGATGAGCACTGACAGCTGGTACTGATAGACACTGACAGGTGTCACTGCTGGGGCTACACAGATCATCAGGGCACACTGATCATCCTGATGATCAGTGTACATGTCCCCTCCGAGGAATACCTATTACCGGCTCTCCTCTCCTCTTGAGCTGTCAGCGTGACAGCTCGTGAGGAGAGAAATGCCGATAACCGCATTTCCCTGTTTACATGTGATCAGCTGTGATTGGACACAGCTGATCACATGACCGAGCCGACATCTTCGGCTCTTTTCGTTGATCAGTGATCCACTGTGTCCGAGGGACACAGCACACCGCCGATCGCTGAGCTGCGCGCTCCCGGAGCCGTGCATGCGCGGTTAGGATGGGAGGACATCATATGATGTCCTCCCAGAACGAGAGAACCGCCTTGCGCCCGTCATTGGACTATATGGCGGGCGGGAGGCGGTTAAAGGTCAATTAGTGCCAAAGATACAGTTGTCTTAACTATACGTCAGCATTCTAATTGAGATAAACTGGAGCTGAACTCCACTTGGCTCAGTAAAGTCATAACACATGTGATCACTACATGAGCCATTTTGCACAAAAATGTCATTAAAAGCAACCTTTCCGGTTCAACGATTTTCTAAAACTGCTCAAAAGTTCAGATGTTTCTTCCTAATTGTGTCACTCCTGGTCTATTTGCTGCGACTTACCAGATCCCGTCTGTGACCTCACCAGGGCATCTCTACCAGACAGGAGGGCCGGGATGGTCATTTTCTGGACACTGTCAAGATAAACATGGAAAAAATAGATTCATATTTTTTCTGATATCTCAGAAGCTTTACAGCAAGCTGTCTCTGTCTACATTGGACACCAACACAGGAAGTGAGGTGAAATCTCTTCAACAGGGACACGGACTGCAATAAAAACTTGTGCGTGATAAACAAGATGATAGGTCCCAAAATGGTACATGGAAATGTGGATCTTGTCATTTTTGTAGTTGGATATATATGAGAATCAATCCTTATTTTAACCAGATGGCACATCTTATACCATTAATCAATTTGTAGGCTATCAAATGATTGGCATTGTTTATATCATGTTTTGTGAATGTGGTGCGTTCTACATACAAAATGTCGAATTTGGCGCAGGATAAAAGATCATTTATATTATGGAAAAAGCCATTTGTTATCCACGTTGATCGGTAGACAGGTGGGGTTACACCGTAAAGGGGATACAAGAGTCCTCAAATTTACAGCTTTGGAACAGATTCAGGAAAACCCTAGAGCAGTGGTTCTCAACCTTTGTAATGCCGCGACCCCTTAATACAGTTCCTCATGTTGTGGTGACCCCCAACCATAAAATTATTTTCGTTGCTACTTCATTACTGTAATTTTGCAGTGGGAGGAGTAGTGCCACATCATTGATGTCAGTGGGATGAATAGTGTCCCATCGTTGGTATCAGTGGGATGAATAGTGTCCCATCATTGGTGTCAGTGGGAGGAATAGTGTCCCATCATTGGTGTCAGTGGGAGGAGTAGTGCCCCATCATTGGTGTCAGTGGTAGGAATAGTGCCCCATCATTGGTGTCAGTGGGAGGAATAGTGCCCCATCATAGGTGTCAGTGGGGGGAATAGTGCCCCATCATAGGTGTCAGTGGGGGGAATACTGCCCATCATTGGTGTCAGTGGGAGGAATAGTGCCCCGTCATTGGTGTCAGTGGGAGGAATAGTGCCACGTCATTGGTGTCAGTGGGAGGAATAGTGCCCGTCATAGGTGTCAGTGGGGGGAATAGTGCCCTGTCATTGGTGTCAGTGGGGGGAATAGTGCCCCATCATAGGTGTAAGTGGGGGGAATAGTGCCCCATCATAGGTGTCAGTGGAAGGAATAGTGCCCCATCATTGGTGTCAGTGGGAGGAATAGTGCCCCATCATTGGTGTCAGTGGGAGGAATAGTGCCCCATCATTGGTGTCAGTGGGAGGAATAGTGCCCCATCATTGGTGTCAGTGGGAGGAATAGTGCCCCATCATTGGTGTCAGTGGGAGGAATAGTGCCCCATCATTGGTGTCAGTGGGAGGAATAGTGCCCCATCATTGGTGTCAGTGGGAGGAGTAGTGCCCCATCACTGGTGTCAGTGGGAGGAAAAGTGTCCCATCACTGATGTCAGTGGGAGGAAAAGTGTCCCATCACTGGTGTCAGTGGGAGGAAAAGTGCCCCAAATAGCGCCCCCATCGTTGGTGTCAGTGGGGGGAGGAATAGTGCCCCATCGTTGGTGTCAGTGGGGGGAGGAATAGTGCCCCATCGTTGGTGTCAGTGGGGGGAGGAATAGTGCCCCATCGTTGGTGTCAGTGGGGGGAGGAATAGTGCCCCATCGTTGGTGTCAGTGGGGGGAGGAATAGTGCCCCATCGTTGGTGTCAGTGGGGGGAGGAATAGTGCCCCATCGTTGGTGTCAGTGGGGGGAGGAATAGTGCCACATCGTTGGTGTCAGTGGGGGGAGGAATAGTGCCACATCGTTGGTGCATCATTACCAACGATGGGGCACTATTCCTCCCCCCACTGACACCAACGATGGGGCACTATTCCTCCCCCCACTGACACCAATGATGGGGCACTATTCCTCCCACTGATACCAATGATGGGAAACTATTCCTCCCACTGACACCAACGATGGGGAACTATTCCTCCCACTGACACCAACGATGGGATACTATTCCTACCAATGACACCAATGTTGGAGCACTATTCCTTCATATGAAAACCACACTTGGGCACTATTCCTTCCACTAATACTAAAGATAGGGCACTATTCCTCCCACTGACTCCAGGGCATTTTCTACTCCCACTGGCCACAGTCCGGCCCACCAAAAGTCTGGAGGACAGTCAACTGGCCCTTTGTTTAGAAAGTTTGGAGACCCCTGACCTATAGGATACAGTATAAGTATTTGTGTTGCTATCCCAAGTTGGGTAATGTAGAGAAATAATATAAAAGATAGTGAGCGCTCTCATAAATATCAGCAGCTAGAACACTTAGGGCAACCACAATGCCTCAAAAATATCAATATAATCTTAAAACAACATAGTGCAGCGCTTAGCAAGGTGAAAAAGTCAATAGAGTAATAATCGAGCATCCACAGTAATTCACTGGAGAAATACGAATTCCCACGACATCCACTCTGTCAGATAACAGAAATGCGCACTCACCAGAAACGCATGGAATATGCGCATGTGTGATCATGCATCACAGGCAGTGGGTACATCAGAGGTTAGGCAGCAGGCATCTCCCTCACGGTGGATCATGATCCAGACTTGTTAATCTGGTCCAGGGGTCCCCTTAAGGTCAGCCAGGTGTTCCATACAAAAAACCTCCTCTCAGGATGGCAAAGTGCTTTCTCTGTGGGGATGAAAGCTCCAAGAAGGAGCCCCAGAAAACAGATGCCAGAGATAGTGTAGTATTTCCAGAAAAGTAATCTTTATTCATGTAAACAGGTCAGTGTGCATACTAAACATCCGGTAAAAATAAAGATATGCAGCAGTACTGACCCCAGTAATGTTGACCGCCGGGCTTCCTCGTGGCTCCGGCGGGGGAATGACGTCACGCTCTGCACAGCTCCTCCTTAGGCCTTTCGTGCTCAGGCACATCATCAGAGGGGAGGCTGTACAGAAGCGTGACCGACGTCTGCGTTAAAAATAAGGAAATCGGCACATGCGCAGTTAGCCGCGGCCATTTTCCCGAAGAAAGCGGGTACTGCGCATGCGCGAACACGGCAGCGCCATTTTGCCGTGGATCCGCGATCTATCACATAACAGGGAGGAGACAGACACTAACTGCGCATGTGCCGATTTCCTTATTTTTAACGCAGACGTCGGTCACGCTTCTGTACAGCCTCCCCTCTGATGATGTGCCTGAGCACGAAAGGCCTAAGGAGGAGCTGTGCAGAGCGTGACGTCATTCCACCGCCGGAGCCACGAGGAAGCCCGGCGGTCAACATTACTGGGGTCAGTACTGCTGCATATCTTTATTTTTACCGGATGTTTAGTATGCACACTGACCTGTTTACATGAATAAAGATTACTTTTCTGGAAATACTACACTATCTCTGGCATCTGTTTTCTGGGGCTCCTTCTTGGAGCTTTCATCCCCACAGAGAAAGCACTTTGCCATCCTGAGAGGAGGTTTTTTGTATGGAACACCTGGCTGACCTTAAGGGGACCCCTGGACCAGATTAACAAGTCTGTCATGATCCACCGTGAGGGAGATGCCTGCTGCCTAACCTCTGATGTACCCACTGCCTGTGATGCATGATCACACATGCGCATATTCCATGCGTTTCTGGTGAGTGCGCATTTCTGTTATCTGACAGAGTGGATGTCGTGGGAATTCGTATTTCTCCAGTGAATTACTGTGGATGCTCGATTATTACTCTATTGACTTTTTCACCTTGCAAGCGCTGCACTATGTTGTTTTAAAAATGTAGAGAAATGTAATTGTTTTTTAATAGTATCTACTGGTGACTCCAAAATCACTGAATGTGTACATCTTGACGGATAGTCCTTTTCCTATGTCCGCTCATAGGACTTCATATTTGGGTTTCTCTGCAGTCCGCCCCATTAATGTGAGCCCTTTTTCTTTTAATTGGATGTTTATATTTTATGGATTATATATGTGCTAATGTATGTAATTTTTTTTTACACTGTTAGTGTTTTACTCCCTCAAATATACAGTCCTGAAGAAGCTATATGCGAAACCCATTGACCGTTGAAGTTGGACAAACTACAAACAATATTTCATGGATCTATGTAGTATACCATTAAGATGAGGTTACTTACTGAGGGTTCATTCCCCATGTCCCTTTTAACCACTTGCCCTCCAGAGGATTTACCCCCCTTCCTGACCAGACCATTTTTTGCGATACGGTGCTGCATTACTTTAACTGATAATTGCGCGGTCATGAAAACTGCACCCAAATTAAATTTATGTCCTTTTTTTCCCACAAATGGACGACAATTTTGAGAAAAAAAAAAACAATATTTTTGACTTTTTGCTATTAAATATGTCCAATAAAAAAATTTTAAAAATCAAATTTCGTCATAAATTTAGGCCAAAATGTATTCTGCAACAGGTCTTTGCTAAAAAAAAAAAAATCCCAATACATGTAAATTAATTGGTTTAGGTGAGAGCTATAGCGTCTACAAATGGCAGTATATATACTGGAATTTTTTTTTTTTATACTAGTAATAGCGGCGATCAGCGACTTATTGAGGGACTGCAGAGGACATTCTGACAATGGGGGGGAAACTGACTGTCAGACATCCCCAGTGATCAGTGCTATTAAAAAGCACTGATGCTGTACTAATGGCACTGGGCAGGAAGGGGTTAACATCTGGGGCGATCAAAGGGTTAACTGTGTGCTGTTTTACTATGAGCTGTGTGTGTATTTCACTGTCAGCACATTGCTTTGTATTGCTCTGCTATACAGAGCAATATAAAGCAGTGTGCTGGAGCGGACAGGGGACAGATCTATATTGTTTACAGACAGGTCTCTCCCCCGTTAGTGATCAGCAATCGCTGGGTGCTGACAGGGGAATCACCATCCGGGACCCGCTGAGGCCCTACCTGGAAATGCAAAATCAGGTATATATACACGTGATTTTGCCCAGCCCTGCCACCCTGTAGCAGTATTTCTGCTATAGGGCAGCGGGAAAGTGGTTAAATAGGACAAATGTTTACATTTGACTAATCTTTTAAACATGTTAAAAATAAAATATGTTCTTTTTCATTGAAATTGTGTGTGGTCTCATGTAGTGCCTCCTATAGTCTGCTGTTATACAGTCTAGTTTTCTAGCAGTTGTCCGCCTCTTTTCTCTAATAATTTTGGATGTGGCACATTGAAGTGCTTGTGGCTTATATCTGTTATTTTGTAGTTTACAGATTTTATTTGGAAGGCACCTACTCCTGAGGAAGTGAAGATAACATTCACGAAACGCGTAAATTAGACCGGATCACACTAAATGCAATTTCAAAGTGGTGCGATCTGGTTCCATTTAAAGTGTGAAATCAAAGTAGAGCTGATATAGACACAGGTGCAATTTCAATGCCATTTAACTTAGAAATTATGATAGTGAAATTGCACTGAAGTGGTGAAAAAGCAAAGCAGGAATTATTTTTCGAATCACGCTGTAGCAAACTTGCTCATCTGAGATGGACGTGGAGTTCCCCTTTTTTATTAGAAGTATTCCTCAATCCTTTATTCCTTACCCCCTCCCTTCCTGAGAGGCACAGGGACAGATGTGTGTTAAAAGTTGCTGGCAGGCTGGAGCAGCAGGGGGCCCAGCTCTACAAAGCTCCCCCCATAGAGACAGCAGACTCACTGTCCAAGGGACCTGTGTGATTTCACACCTCGAGGAAGGATGGCAGAACCTTCTCAAGAGTTCAAGGCATTCCCCAGAAGCACAAACAAGATAACATTTTTAACAGATCTGGTTTTCCCCTATGTTTCATATCATGGATTATGACAGATGTTGATTCTAATTCAGAGTTCGCCCGACTGACCCCTCCCTAAACAGTGTATTGGTCAGTTACTCAGAGCCATTCCCCCTGCTGGGGCACTTTTAAAAACTCAGGCTAACAGGCCTAAAAAGTTAAGCTAAACACATCTCCTAATTTTAACATTGTAACAGCAGGAGATCAAAGACCCTTCGCTCTGCAACTTGGATCTGCTTACCTTAAGGCTGAACATGGCAAGTAACTTAACCTTTTAACTTCTCCCTGTTATCTCTTTGCTGTGCTGTTTTCTATTTATATATAATATATATATCTTAGTACATCTTTTTCTGTAAATATTTTATTGCACCTGTTTGACTCTTTTAGTAATAAATCTTTCTTTCTGAAAGTGTTAAACTGTTTCTAAAGCGCTTAATTGCAATTTACGAATTCCTGCCTTTTGAAGAGACGCTACTGTGTTTGTTTAAACCTCTTCCCAATCGGCCTGCGGTGACCGTATTGGACAGGCGACTTTTCAACCATTACAGTGTATATTTGATAAAGAGCGTTTCCCCTTTCTCTGTACAAAAAGGGGTGGTGGCAGTGAAGGGTTAGTTGCGTAATTAACCCGACCCAGTAACAAGCGCATTCAGGCTGCCGGTGCGTCGATTACATTCCATTAGCTGGACAATCGTGCAGGGTGCAGCTGAGTGTGGCATTGTTACGCACGTCACATCGCGGTTTTAGATCGGCCGGTCCTTTGGTCACGAGTTTGGTGAGAAGGTCTGGCACCGCGGGTGTGATGTATTGGTGGTCGCGGTTGTGCGATTGTCGTATGTTGAGGGTGGCGATCCCACGACCGTGACACACGCTACTTAAAATCACACCTATTAAGACCGTGCCATAGAAGTACATCAGATGCGACTTCAGGGGCAATTTGTAAATTGCATGTCGCATCTGAAGTCGCAGCAGTGTAAACCAGGGCTTATAGGATGCATTCCTTTCTTAATAAATGTGTTTATTGTATTTCTATGGAACAACTAGTTTGGATTTGTATACTTTATGATTATTTATGTCAGATTAAAGAACTTTTTTATGTATGTAACAGAAAAATGTATGCATCGCCTAATAAAAGGATAACATACAATCCAATCACGTTATGCCTCATTTAAAGTCCCACAGGTGAAATAATTGTTTGTGTTGTACTTGATGTGTAGGGAAGGAGGCATTGCATTTTAGGTACTAGGTCAGCGTTTTATTATTTTTGGCTTCAGTAGTTTGTTAGTCATTGACATGAAAAGAGCATGCCAGAGTTTTGATTTCACTCGGACTTTCCTGATCTCCTTGTTCCTGGTCAGTGTCTCACAAAGTATTAAAGCCAAGCAACTAGCATTTAGATCCTCTTGGCCTGGGAAGGAAATTTTCACGAGACACCAACCTGGTCATCTGGGTTATATTCAGGACGCTTGTGATTGTGGCAACCTGAAATGAAAAAAAAAAAATCCTGATTTTACATCATGCCTGTAAAATGTTTTTAAAAAGTGATAGAATACTACACCCAGGGGCAGATACCTGAACTAATGCAGGCCATACATGGGTCGAATTCTGAACTAATTTTCTTTAGAAAATCGGAATTTTTTGAAATCCGATGGGCCACCATTGATTTCAAAATTCAAACAACCAAGCCTTCAATTTCACCTCATGTTGCTACAGAAAGAATTTTTGTGGCCAAGAATTTTCTTTTCTTTCCAGGTCAGTTCATGCTCATTTCTTTTTCATTGATATTTCTCACACGATTCTCCCATCATTGATACGAAATTTGTTCGTTATTCAAAAAATTTCTAACATGCCTGATCACTCAAATTCAATGGTAACATGAAAATCGGCTGTTTCTGTGACCCACTAGTGGTGCGAAATTTGAACGAAAATTCTTAGAAAAGATTTTCAAAAGAAATTCTTTCGGAATTCGACCCATGTATGGCTGGCTTTAAAGCCCTGATCTACTGATGCTTGTGCACAAATACCGACTCTGAGGCCAGTTGGGTCACATGCCTGTCAAATTATATAAATGAATTGGTAGAAACCCCAAGAAAGCACAAGGAGAACATGTACAATCAATGCAAACAGTGTTCCTGGCAAACTGGGGACCTATAAGGCAAGACTACTAACTAAATCATATTGGAAGAGTAGACTTTTGTGACGGAATCCAGACATCTTTCTATGCAGGAAAATGCTGAGGGTCCTTAGGAGAAAAGGGCTAGTGAGAGGGCCACAAGGAAAGGTTAGTTTCAGGGTTACAGAAAAGGTTACAAGTAGGCTAGTATTAGGGTTATAGGCAGAGTTAGTCCATCTTTTGCAAAAAAAATAATAAATGCTCATTTTTGTTCCAGCAAATATATGTGCACGTATTATTTTTTGTAAAAGGTGGACTTTAAAGTCTTTAAAGTGATATTAAGGGCTGGTTCACACCAGATGCAGACCAATGCGGATTTTTTCTGCATCAAAAAAGCATTGCAGAGATTTAATCTCCAAATACGGAAAGGTTTCTTCACAGTAAGAGCTGTGAAAATGTGGAATAGACTCCCTCAAGAGTTGGTTCTGGCCAGCTCCGTGGCCTGGATTCTTTCCTAGACACACAGAATATAACTGGATACTAACATTTATAGGTAAAGTTATCCAGGGAATATCTGATTGCCTCTCGGGGGATCAGGAAGGAATTTTTTCCCCTGTAGAAGCAAATTGGATCATGCTTTGCTGGCTTTTTTGCCTTCCTCTGTATCAACTGTGGGTATAGGATTATAACTTTTTTATATGGTTGAACTGGATGGCCTTTGGTCTTTTTTCAGCCAAACTATGTAACTATATGCACAGTGTTTTCCATGGCTCTAGTTCACAACAGTGCAGTCAGTTTCCAGTGCAGAAAAAAAATAAAACATGCTGCATTTTTTCTGCACAGAACTGTACTGGAACCCAGCAAAACGCAACAAAAATGCACTGGAAAGGAGTGTAATGTGAACTGTAAGTAAAAACGCATTCAGAATGCATCCAGAGGCCGTTGTTGTGGTGTGAACTGGCCCCTTAGGTTTATTTTTTTTAATAACAAACATGGTCTGCTTACCTGCTCTGTGCAGTGGTTTCTGCAGAGAGAAGCCCTGATCCTCCTCTTCTCTGGTTCCCCTGCCCGCTCTCCTGGCTCCTCCCCCTTGACCAGTGCCCCAAAAGCAAGCTGCTTGCCTCACTGGTGCGTACTTGCTCCCGAGCCCTGCTCTATGCATCCATAAGACACAGAGAGCCACGGCTCAGCCCCCGCTCTCTCCTCACTGGCTGTGACTGACAGATGTTGGAGCCAATGGCCAGCCCATAAGGAAAGAGAGACCCGGGAAAGCCGGGGCTCCCGTGCACATTCGACGGATCGAGATGGGGCTCAGGTAAGGGGGGCTGAGGGGGGGGGGGTGTTGGTAGCAGGACCTATAACCCTAATACTAACCTACTTGTGATACTCACACTAGCCCTCCTTTCTTCGGGACCCTCTGCATTTTCCTGCATAGCAAAGCATTGCAACCACATATAGTGGATCTTGGGTGCAATGCCGGGCTCCTGAAGACTCCTCGTCCATAAAGAAGTGTAGACTTTCAGTTGCAGAGCTGGACTAAGGGGGAGGTTTACTACAACTGGGGAGTGCAAAATTTGGTGCAGCTCTGCATAGTAACCAATCAGCTTCCAGGTTTTATTGTCACAGCTTAATTGAACAAGCTGAAGTTAGAAGCTGATTGGCTACCATGCACAGCTGCACCAGATTCTCAGTGATCCAGTTTAATTAACCACTTGCCTACCAGGCACTTTTACACCCTTCCTGCCCAGGCCAATATTAAGCTTTCAGTGTTGTCACACTTTGAATGACAATTGCGCGGTCATGTAACACTGTACCCATATTAAATTTTTATACTTTTTTTTGCGACATATAGAGCTTTCTTTTGGTGGTATTTTCTCACCACAGGGTTTTTTATTTTTTGCTAAACAAATGAAAAAAGACCAAAAATTTTGAAAAAAAAATGTTTTTCTTAGTTTTTGTTAAAACATTTTGCAAACAGGCAATTTTTCTCCTTCACTGATAGACACTGATATGCAGCACTGATGGGCACTGAAAGGCTGCACTGATGGCCACTGACAAGGAGGCACTGATGAGGCGGCACTGACTGGCGCTGCACTGATATCCTCTGATGTGTCAATACACTTGCCGATTATTGGCTCTCCTCTCTGTGCAGCTAACCGCCAACTGTATTTACATTGTGATTAGCTGTGTCATTGGACTGATCATGTGGTAAAGACGCTGTGATTGGCCCTTTACCATGTCAAGTGATCTGCTGTGTTCAAAGGACACAGTGATCAAACAGCTTGCTGGGTGCCCGCCCCAAGGGGCACGTGGGAGGCGCGGTTCTGGTGGACATCATATGACGCCCTCCCAGAACTAGACGACCGTGCTGTAGCTGTCATTCGGCTATAGCCCAGTTGTCAACTGGTTAAATCTCCCTCTTAGGTTCACACCTATGCATTTTCCGCTGCATTTTGCAGAAACACACAGCAGTCCATTTAACCTTTCCTATGGGACAGGTTCATGTCTCCGCGGTTTCACCCAGTCCGTTTTTTGGAAAGGGTCAGCGACTTTTTTAAATGCAAAATGTTGCGTTTTTGGTTCTATAGACTTCAATGGAGAGTCTGCAGAAAAGTATGTGGTTTGTTTTTGATGGATTTTTGATGCGTTTTGCATTTTATTCTGCCCAGCAACAAGTTGAAAAAAAAAAATGCAAAACGCATATGCACAAAAACAAATCACACCACAAAAAGCATTGCAGAAATGGATCAAACGTAAAACGGCATAGGTGTGAACCTAGCCTAAGTGTCAATGGACTAACAGTGCGGGGATCACTTCATTGAACACTACAAGCCCATCCGTCATGGCAGTAGATGGGACTTGTAGCTCATTCATTCACAGATATAAATACGGGTGTAAAATGGTGCAAATAACAAGTTAGCCTTTACAGTTACAAGGAAGGCTGGCATGATGGAGCTTACGGTAGAGCATTGCACTCGGTGCCGAAACTCTAAATCAAAATCTACCAATGCTGAAAGCTATTGTACAGTGCCATTCTCTCCTTTATATCTATAAAAATAATATGTTGAAAATAAATTCAATAAAAAGGTGACCTACCAAATTTCTACAACTATGGGACAATCGTTTGGGGTCTCCGGGCCTAGCACCCACTCAACCGTTCTCAATTATTATTATTATTATTATTATTACGAGTTTATATAGCGCCAAAGGGTTTGCTCAGCGCTGTACAATTGAGAACGGTTGAGTGGGTGCTAGGCCCGGAGACCCCAAACGATTGTCCCATAGTTGTACAAATTTGTGTTTTAATTGTTTCGACAATGTGTGTTTTAATTGTTTCGACAGTTGATTATTTCAGACTTGTGGGGTTGTCATCTGGTTATGATTACACATCTCTCTAGATGTGTAATCATAACCAGATGACAACCCCACAAGTCTGAAATAATCAACTGTCGAAACAATTAAAACACACATGCGCATGTCGACCCAGTTTTTTAAGCTACTTTATTGATCATCAGAAAAATTTAGGCAAAACCCTACAATATTACACCCCAATGGAACTATGAACATGGTAATATCCATCAGGTTATGTGACAATCTCTATAATGTGGATGTGTAGATGAAACCCTACTAATTGTTACTCTTGTACAAGGATCTGGACAGTTGGAAGGGGAACGTGCGGAATGCTTGGACATTTTTGTACTGGAAAAATGTTAAATACAAAACACAACTGATTAATAAAAAAAGACAGACCTACCAGATGTGGATGCAACTTGAGCTCAGAAAAGGAATCGGAAGAGAAAACGTTTTCTTGTAACTGCTTCACATTTGGCCTGTTAACAAATAAGCCATAAAAAGTATAAATCAGAAAAGCAAAAAAAAACAAAAAAAAAACAAACATAGATACAGATACAGTTCCCTTTAAATCCAAATAAGATCGAACCTCTCTATTTCCGGAACCTCTGGGTTGTTTTTAAAGAGAGATGATGTTTTGACAGCAGCTCTTCCTTTTGTGCCATCTTCTTTCTTTTCTCCTTTTTTAGGTAAGGAATTTTTTTTGAATTTTTTGTTGGGTTTGGATTTGGTGTCCATGGACTTGGTATCTAGAGAAACTGGAGGAGCTGAACGCTTGGAGGAAGGACCTTCACTGGCATCTTGGAACTTCCTTTTCTGAGCTTTGAATTTCTGTCATTAAATGAAATAACAGCATTAGTCCTGATAGAGGTAAACCCTGTAAAGGAATTATTATTATTATTATACAGGATTTATATAGCGCCAACAGTTTGCGCAGCGCTTTACAAAATGAAAAACTATAGACATTATAGTTACAATACAATTTGGTAGAAGAGGAAACAGAGGGCCCGGCTCGTCCAATCTAGGAGGAAGGGTTAAGTGATATAAAAGGTAATAGCTGTGGGGGGATGAGCTGATGGAGGAAATAAATGGCGATTTACTAGGTAGAAGCAGGATAGACTTCTTTAAAGAGAAAGGTTTTCAGGGTTCGTCTAAAGGTGGATAGATTAGGAGACAGCCGGACAGATTGGGGTAGGGAGTTCCATAGGATGGGAGAAGCTCGGGAGAAGTCCTGGAGGCGAGCATAGGAGGAGGCGACACTGGAACTAGAGAGCAGAAGGTCTTGGGAGGATCGAAGAGAGCGGTTTGGTTGATATTTTGAGATCAGGCTGGTGATGTAGCTGGGGGCAGAGTTGTGGATGGCTTTGTAAGTTGTTGTTAGTATGATTTTTTTTTTTTTTTTCACTACAAGTGTACATATAAGAATCTGTCCTGAAATCAGTCTCCTGTAATCCCCTGTACAGCAGCACTAAGAATGGGAGCATGAAGGGCAGTACTCAGAGTCAATCTATCTCATGCATTGTACATATGCTGACAAAGGACCTGCTAATGGGCGAAAAAAGCATGAGCAAAGAGATGATCTAATTAGTAAACTACTGTTCTTCCATTGACCAATCAGCAACCTAGGGGAGTTTTTGACCAAGCAGTGCTGCTGCAGTAATGGTCAAGTATGTTGCCTTCAGGGATATTAATCAGGATTCACAGGACTGCACAGAATTACAAATCATTTTGCAGCCAGCACAATCCTCATATATGTATCTCTGTTAAGTATTTAGCTGCTCTCTTGGAATTCAGCTTCAATACTCAATTGAAGTCCCACACCTTTGCATCTCTTTTAGAGTTTTGTATCATGGAATTTTAGGATTTGTGATTGCAGTTTTCTTGAAAATGCCTTAATAGAAAACTTTGCTTCTAGTGAAGTTGTTCTTTAATGCTTCCCACCCTACCCCTGTACTCCCATGCAGGCTGTAGTATTGTCATAGTTGTGGGTAGTACTTCCACAAGTATTTACAGAGAAGTTGCTTCTTCCTTCTCTCCCCTTCCAGTGCTCTGTGTTAGTAGAGCTGAGTAATAGCCACCCCCTCAGCACTAATGTCCCCACATTTACTGATTACACTGTTCAACAGGTAAAAAGTTTTGGGCATAAAATTAGCTAATCTTACATAATTTTGGGGTGCTGAAAACGAAAATGACCCTAAAAAATGTTGATTGGCTCTAGTTTCCATGATATATTCACCCATCTGACGTAAGCCATTCAAAATTATGATGCAACTTCAGCTGCATATTGCGCAATTGATACAGGTGACCAATAGAAAATTGCATGTATACTGAGATGATGCAATATTAGCCTTTAATTGCATCACTTCACTGCATAAAAGCTGCAGTATCTGTAGCTGATTGTAGTTCGACAGCGTCTTTACATTTCGTTTTATGCTTATATAGGCTACTCAGTAATGCCTCGAACTTGTGTGAATAAAGCAGATAATTTCTGCTATATCTGCGGTGAAATAACTTTTATCTCACAAAAAAGGAGGATAACAGGAATGATTAAGAAAGCCTACAACTTGTATTTTGGCTGCAAGATAGGAGACCAGGACAAGAGCTGGGCACCACATATATGCTGCAATTCTTGTGGGACGGCACTGGAGCAATGGTTGAATGGAAAAAAGGCATCTATGCCTTTCGCTGTGCCAATGATTTGGAGAGAGCCAACAGATCATGTTAGTAATTGTTACTTTTGTATGGTGCCTCCAATTGTAAAAGGGCTAAATAAGAAGAAAAAGTTATCTGTGCACTATCCAAATATTCCATCGGCAATACGTCCAGTTCCTCATGGAGAGGGGCTACCAATTCCTAAAGCACCAGAATCCTTCGAGGTTGAGTCAAGTGAGGAAGAACCTGAAGCGTGTAGTCACGTGCAGTTGTAAGAGATAACCCTTTCCTCGAATACAAGAGAAAAGCCAAGAGAAGCAAAACCGAGACAAACTGAAGACAAAACTAGTGAGAATCCTAAGTATTAAAATGATTCAACTTAGCTTATGGCTATAATTTTTCTTGGTAATCCTATGCAATATATTATGCCATTTAGGCTTTGTTATGTAGTCAATATCACTTGCTTTATATTTGTGGAAAGACATCTATCTATATAATTATTGTGCATTATGTAGTCATTACGCCTATAGTAGAAAACTTTCCGTTTACAGAAAAACTAGAGCCAATTGACAAATTTCATTGTTATATTTGAACTCAGAATGTGAAATTCATTAAGAAATGGATCCTTTTGTTTCCAAAACTGGCAAAAAATAAAAATTTGTTGAACAGTGTTATTGCAGAGAAGGAAGAGGACATACAGTGCCTTGAAAAAGTATTCATACCCTTAAATTTTACCACTTTTTGTCATCTTGCAGCCAAAAAAATAAATGTGTTTTATTGGGATTTTAAGTGATAGACCAACACAAAGTGGCACATAATTGTGAAGTGGAAGGAAAATGATAAATGGTTTTCAAAACTTTTTACCAATAAATATGTGAAAGGTGTGGCGTGCATTTGTATACAGCCCCCCTGAGTCAAAACATTGTAGAATCACCTTTGGCTGCCATTACAGCTGCAAGTCTTTTTGGGGATGTAGAGAGTTTCCACATCTAGAGAGTGAAATTCAGATTGGATGGAGAGCATCTGTGAACAGCAATTTTCAAGTCTTGCCACAGATTCTCAATTGGATTTAGGTCTGGACTCTGACTGGGTCATTCTAACACATGAATATGCTTTTGATCTAAACCATTCCATTGTAGCTCTGGCTGTATGTTTACGGTCGTTGTCCTGCTGGAAGGTGAACCTCCTCCCCAGTCTCAAGTCTTTTGCAGACTCGAACAGGTTTTCTTCTAAGATTGCCCTGTATTTGGCTTCATCCATCTTCCCATCAACTCTGACCAGCTTCCCTGTCTCTGCTGAAGAAAAGCATCCCTACAACATTATGCTTCCACCACCATGTTTCACGGTGGGGATGGTGTGTTCAGGGTGATGTGCAGTGTTAGTTTTCTGCCACACATAGCATTTTGCTTTTAGGCCAAAAGGTTCAATTTTGGTCTCATCTGACCAGAGCACCTTCTTCCACGTTTGCTGTGTCCCCCACATGGCTTCTCGCAAACTGCAAATGGGACTTCTTATGGCTTTCTTCCAACAATTACTTTCTTCTTGTAACTCTTCCAAAAAGGCCAGATTTGTGGAGTGCACAACTAATAGTTGTCCTGTGGACAGATTCTCCCACCTGGGCTGTGGATCTCTGCAGCTCCTCCAGTTACCATGGGCCTCTTGGCTGCTTCTCTGATCAATGCTCTCCTTGCCCGGCCAGTCAGTTTAGGTGGACGGCTATGTCTCGGTAGGTTTGCAGTTGTGCCATACTCTTTCCATTTTCAGATGATGGATTGAACAGTGCTTTGTGATATGTTCAAAGCTTGGGATTTTTTTTTATAACCTAACCCTGCTTTAAACTTCTTCACAACTTTATCCATGACCTGTCTGGTGTGTTCCTTGGCCTTCATGATGCTGTTTGTTCACTAATGTTCTCTAACAAACCTCTGAGGGCTTCACAGAACAGCTGTATGTATACTGAGATTAAATTACACACAGGTGGACTCTATTTACTAATTAGGTGACTTCTGAAGGCAATTGGTGCCACTAGATTTTAATTAGGGGTATCAGAGTAAAGGGGGCTGAATACAAATGCACGCCACACTTTTCAGATATGTATTCATAAAAAAGTTTGAAAAACATTGAGTCCACTTCCCAAGTATGTGCCACTCTGTGTTGGTCTATCACATAAAATCCCAATAAAAAATGTTTACGTTTTTGGTTGTACCATGACAAAATGTGGAATTCAAGGGGTATGAATACTTTTTCAAGGCACTGTATCTGACCAGATCTGTTAGTAAGTGCTCATTATCGAGTGCACTGGGTCTACTCTGGCACCTAATGGACTTTACAGTCAAATTTAGAGAGCTGGAACAACTGCTGTACCAGGAAAGTGAAAGTAAGACTTTAAAAATGGGGGTTGTTAGTAGGATGTCTACCTGACTGTATATGTATTTCTGTGCCTTCATTTGGGCTTTACAAGTATTTACTAAACCCACAACAGTAAAATCAGTCTGTATATGCAGTAAAGCATGCTTGTTATACTCACTATGGAACCTAAGGGGTTAATCCTCTGCATTGTGTAAAAACGCTGTTTGATCCTGACTTCTCTGATCCTCCCCTTCTTCTACTGTCCCCAATCCATCTGCTGATAGTACAGAGCCCTAGGACGTATTCTGCACATGTTCAGTTTAGTGTGTATTTGTAGAGTTTTTTTTTCATGGGGGAGTGCATGTGATCAGCACAGGGCCAATCAGCACTGTCCAGACAGAGGGTCAGGGGTTGTGCAGCCTCATGGGGCAATCAGGGGAGAATGAAAACACCTCCTACAAGCTTTAACCAGTACTCTGCTGGACACTGATAGAAGTCACGAGACTGATATACACTGCTGATGAGAAATGGTATGTGCCAATTTATATTTACAATAATTGCATTTCCATGTTGTGTGTACTGTGGGAGACCAGATATAGTGGATGCAGGGTCCGGGGAGAGCAGATATAGTGGATGCAGGGTCCTGGGTTTAGTAACACTTTAATGGGATTAGAATTAAAATGACCTTTTCAGGGTATATGTGGGGGGGTAGAATATCCTGACATCTTATTTGCTCTCTTTTCTATTAACCACTAGCCTACAGGGCACTTCTACCCCCTTCCTGCCCAGGCCAATTTCCAGCTTTCAGCGCTGTTGCACTTTGAGTGACAATTGCGTGGTCATGCAACACTGTACCCATATGAAAATTTTTTATAATTTTTGTTGTGACAGATAGAGCTTTATTTTGGTGGTATTTAATCACCTCTGGGTTTATTTTTTCTTAAACAAACCAAAAACCACTGAAAATTTTGAAAAAAAAAATGTTTTTTCTTAGTTTTTGTTATAAAATTTTGTAAATAAGTGATTTTTCTCCTTCACTGATGTGCGCTAATGAGGCTGCACTGATGGGCACTGATAGGCTGCACTGATGTACACTGATAGGTGGCACTGATGGGCATTGACAGGCATCACTGATGGGCACTGAAAGGAAGCACTCATTATATGGCACTGATAGGTGGCACTGATAGGCAGCACTGACGGGCACTGATAGGCGGCACTGATGCACACTGATAGGCAGCATCGACTGGCACTGATAGGTGGCACTGATAGGCTGCACTGACTGGCACTGAAAGGCAGCTCAGATGGGCACTGATATGTGGCATTGATGTGGAACTGATGGGCACTGAAATGTTGCACTGGCGGGTGGCATGGATGAGCACAGAGCTGGCACTGATGGACACTGACAGGTGGCGCTGCTGGGGCTACACTGATCATCAGGGCACACTGATCATCAGTGCTTTGATGATCTGTGTAGATCCTCTGAGGAATACCGATTACCGGCTCTCCTCTCCTCTGTCAGCATGACAGCTCGTGAGGAGAGAAATGCCGATAACCGGCATTTCCCTGTTTACATGCGATCAGCTGTGATTGGACACAGCTGATCACATGACAGAGCCGACATCTTTGGCTCTTTCCGTGGATCGTGATCCGGACACAGCGCACCGCCGATTGCCGCGCTGTGCATATGATGTCATATGATGTCCTCCCAGAACGAGAGAACCGCCTTGCGTCCGTCATTGTACTATATGGCGGGCGGGAGGCGGTTACATATACCACTGAATGTGGTTTGTTATATCTGTTCGATAAGGGCAGAAATATACCTGCTGATCCTGTCAGAAATCCAGTACTGGCATGTGCACTCTGCAACAACATCATCTCAATCAGTCTTGTGAACCCTGTTCAGTTCATGTATGTGAACTACAGAACACCTCACCCCTATAATATGGAGAGAAGGGGAGGGTTCTGTAGTCCTAACAAACCTCTTGTCCTAGGGTGGCAATGCTGTTCCAGTGTACAGTAGGGGGTGGGAAATTATTTTTCCCAAGGGGCCACATGAGAGACTAGAACTGTGGTGGAGGGCCATAATTAATATTGCTGAACAGTAATTTTGGACTGGTGAAGGTCTGTAAGTAAGTGAGGAATCTGACAGGCTTAGTAAGGCATGCTGACAGTGGAGGCATCAAGGGCCGGATATGGCCAGCCAAAAGGCAGCCATAGTTTGCCCAGGTCTGGAGGTCTGCTGTACAATGAGTATGTGCTGTCACCAAAGAGGAAGTGTTCCACTGTCAGAATCACCAGGTGAAAACAAAGAAAACACCTTAAAAAAATGCCAGCAACTACATCTAAAAATTGGAAAGTTGCAATATATTACATTTTAGTTCCTATGTTTAACATTGTTCAGTTGTGATCTCCTCCTACTGTAATCCCCTGTTCAGAGGAGAACACAGGGCAGAGCTCAGCCATTTACTGCCCTGTCACAGCCTGCACTGGTTCCTGTTCCAGGCTGTATTACATAGACTCCGGGGAAGTCTATGACCTGGGAATGCTTTCTGGCAGGTGTACCTGGATCACAAGCGACAAAACTGATGGCAATTACAGCAGTTTGTTTCTATGCATTTCAGCTTTCGGCATGGAGCTGAACACTAAACTGGCGGACATGTTCGTTTTAAGACCTCGGTGTAGTTGAGCTCCAAGTCTGTACCTGCTTGACAGATGAAACATGATTTCTAAATACCAATTTACACAAATTCAGGAAACTTACCCAGGTCTCCTTTCTTTTCTCTGGCTTGAGGAAAGGTTTGGCACCTTTGTGTGATGGGATTGGAGCCTCTGTAATATTGAGGATTAATCCCTGATCTCCCATGACTCATAAACCACCAAACATCTGTCAGCTACAGCCAGTCCCCCCAAGGATCTCTGTGCAGTACTAGAAGTGATCAGATCTACAATCCCCTCTTATAGATCTCTGTATAGATCTAGTAATGATCAGATCTACAATGCCTCCCTATAGATCTCTGTATAGAACTAGTAATGATCAGATCTACAATCCCCTCCTATAGATCTATGTATAGAACTAGTAATGATCAGATCTACAATGCCCCCTATAGATCTCTGTATAGATCTAGTAATGATCATACAATCCCCTCTTATAGATCTCTGTATAGAACTAGTAATGGTCAAATCTTCAATCCCCATCCACGGGTCCCTGTACAGTACTAGCAAAGATCTGCTCTACAACCCCCTCCACAGATCCCTGTACAGTACTAGCAATGATCAGCTCTACAATCCCCTTCCACGGATCTCTGTACAGTACTAGCAATGATCAGTTCTACAATCCCCTTCCACAGATCCCTGTACAGTACTAGCAATGATCAGCTCTACAATCCCCTTCCACAGATCCCTGTACAGTACTAGAAATGATCTGCTCTACAACCCCCCTCCACAGATTCCTGTACAGTACTAGCAATGATCAGTTCTACAAACCCCTCCGCAGATCCCTGTACAGTACTAGCAATGATCAGTTCTACAACCCCCTCCGCAGATCCCTGTACAGTACTAGCAATAGTCACATCTACAAACACATGTGGACACACACCGGCAAGGAAGGACCCAACTAGGGATGCCCTAGTAGCGCCTGACTAAAACATAATTACTTTTTACATTTTGTAAAATTCTGTATAGGTGTCGGTAGGCACTCCATAATCAACGTATATCTGTTAACATTTATGTTACAGCTTTTATTAGCAAAAAAACCCCACAGAACCAGAGGTAACCTAGATAACTACACAGACATGCGTTGCCTACTATTGGATAGCATTGGTCTTCGATAAAATGGCTGCCGTAGCACACTTCAGTAGAAAAGTTTATACAGTGTGTGTGATTCTCAAGTGCTTCTTAGTTACCTTTATTGCAAGCAGTAGTGTAGTGGCAGTGATTACAAAATTAGGATAGGGCAGGCACAGTGAAAAAAAAAAAAGGGAATCATTATTTGATGCCCAACTTCAGATAAAATAATTATTACACATAATAATACAGTACCCTCTTAATATGATTACACTTTGTAAATGAAAGTAATATATGAGCATTAAATTTATAGTGGTTTTCGGGTAAAATAATAATTATACTAATAAATTACTCTCATATTTTATTATTGTTGTTAATAACATGTATTGTTGTTACTGTGGTTGTTCTTACCCCGTATGCAAATACTAATAAAAATAAAATGATAAAAACATGTTATTAATTTATTAGCTTTCATCATAATGTAGGGAAATAATATTCATAATAATACATTACTCCAATGTACTATTATTGTTGCTGTTGTTATACTGTATGTAAATACTAATAATACAAAAAATAAATAAATTATAAGTATGTGTTATTAAAGTATTAGTAAGTAAGATTGTTAATAACAACATTTTTTATTATTATTATTATTATTATTATTATGATGATGATGGTTCTTCTTATAAAAAAAAAATAAATTCTAAGTATGTGTTATTGAAGTATTAGTAAATAAGATTGTTAATAATAACATTTTATTATTATTATTATGGTTCTTCGTATTAAAAAAATATATAAAAAAAAAAATAAATTATAAGTATGTGCTATTTAAGTATTAGTAAGATTGTTAATAATAACATTTATTATTATTATTATTATTATTATTGTTCTTCTTATAAAAAGTAATATAAAACAAATAAATAGTAAGTCTGTGTTATTAAAGTATTATTAAGTTTAATAACATGTATTATTATTATTATTATTATTATAAAAAAAATATAAAATAAATGAATAAATTATAAGTATGTGCTATTAAAGTATTAGTAAGATTGTTACTAACAACATTTATTATTATTATTATTATTAATAATAATAATATGGTTCTTAATATTATTACTACTACAGGGTAGTAAGTAGACTGACATCGATTCCACACAGGCACTATAGATGACACCCTGGGCTCCTTGGAAGCTGGGGTCCTCTCGCTTATTCTCTCCTTCGGTCGCGCAGTGATGATGTCACTCTGACGGTCTCCGTGGTGTAGAGGGATGTCGGAGTCCTGTGAGGAGCAGCGGACGAATTTCCGGCTGTCGGTGTGTAAGCGGGAGCCGGTGGTGAAGTTGTTGCAGGCGGTGACCGGGTTGGAGCCGCTCTCCTGGTCGGAGGACCACCGGCTGTCCGTTTGCACCAGCAGCAATGTCTCTGTGCTGGAACAGGTGTGTGATATCCATGGCAGTAGCCCGGAGCTCACCCTGTACCGCACCTGTGTGCCCGCCCCGCTCAAGACATGCTACCTCCGGGTAAGGCCATAGGATGGGGGGAGGGTGTCCCCTCGGAGCATTGCTGTGTCCCCCCTCCTGCAATGTACAGTGTGGTGTATAGACAAGACTTTCTGTTGAGTTTTGGAGAGAGCAGGGAAGGGATGACCCTGATTGCTGCCTATAGAGGAATCTTATTCATGGTTTTTATTGACAATTTACGCAGCACTTTACATATATATTGTACATTCACATCAGTCCCTAACCCTCAAGGGGCGTACAATCTAAGGTCCCTAACTTACATTCATACATAAACATACTAGGGCCAATTTAGACAGGAGCCAATTAACCTACCAGCATGTCTTTGGAGTGTGGGAGGAAACCGGAGAACCCGGAGGAAAATTTCCTTTAACTTCCTGTCCAGGGAACACAACAGGAAGTTACAGGAAATCTCCCAAAATGAGAACAGCCTTTCTCAACCTTTTCAACATGGAAAAACCCATGAAATAACTTTCCATTCCATGCTAAAAATGACTATCTACAACTCATGATACATTAGTGTGATGGTCAGTGAGAAGACCGCTCCTCACGCTCGTGGTCACTGGGAAGACCGCTCCTCACGCTCGTGGTCACTGGGAAGACCGCTCCTCACGCTCGTGGTCACTGGGAAGACCGCTCCTCACGCTCGTGGTCACTGGGAAGACCGCTCCTCACGCTCGTGGTCACTGGGAAGACCGCTCCTCACGCTCGTGGTCACACGCTCGTGGTCACTGGGAAGACCGCTCGTGGTCACTGGGAAGAACGCTCCTCACGCTCGTGGTCACTGGGAAGACCGCTCCTCACGCGTGGTCACTGGGAAGACCGCTCGTGGTCACTGGGAAAGAACGCTCCTCGCGCTCGTGGTCACACTGGTCACTGAGAGGAACGCTCCTCGCGCTCGTGGGTCCTGAAAGGAACGCGCTCGTGGTCACTGAGAGGAACGCTCCTCGCGCTCGTGGTCACTGAGAGGAACGCTCCTCGCGCTCGTGGACACTGAGAGGAGCGCTCGTGGTCACTGAGAGGAACGCTCCTCGCGCTCGTGGTCACTGGGAAGAATTGCCCTCTTATAGAGAGCTAAAAAAGAAAGTGATGTCAGTGGGAACTTATCCCAGCAGAAATTGCTCATTACTCAAGGAAGCTCTAACAACCTCTGCAGGAACCCAGGAATACTTGAGAGCAGACATTTCTCGAGGAACCCTTAGCAACCTCTGGAGGAACTCTACTGTTCTATGGATCCTTGGTTGAGAAACCCTAATGTAGAGGAACTTCCCTCTTATACAGTTGTCCTCAGGACAAAAGCTTTCTCTCTTGTTCACGGGACAACTTTACATACACTATATTACCAAAAGTATTGGGACACCTACCTTTACACGCTCATGAACTTTAATGGCATCCCAGTCTTAGTCCGTAGGGTTCAATATTGAGTTGGCCCGCCCTTTGTAGCTATAACAGCTTCAACTCTTCTGGGAAGGCTGTCCACAAGGTTTAGGAGGGTGTCTATGGGAAGGTTTGACCATTCTTCCAGAAGTACATTTGTGAGGTCAGGCACACGGATGTCAGACAAGAAGGTCTGGTTCGCAGTCTCCGCTCTAATTCATCCCAAAGGTGTTCTAATGGTTTGAGGTCAGGACTCTGTGCAGGCCAGTCAAATGTTTCAGATTTTTTTTTTTCACCATCTGTGTCCCATTGCGGAGATTTCCCTGCACTTCCTGTCCCATAGCCAAACAGGAAGTGAGAGGAAATCCCAGAAAATTAAGGGAATTCCTTGGGGACCTCCAGATCACCAGAACTAGTGTCCTCATCAGAAGACTTCCACAGTGGCACAGACAGCAATAAAAACTGACAAGCGTTCTAATCCCTCTGCACACTATTCAAAACTATAAAAAAATTGCTTTGCTTTTAGTTACACTTTATATGTTTAAAGTGGTTGTAAAGGCTGAAACTTTTTTGCTTTCATGAATTCTATACATGAAGGTAAACAACCTTCTGTGTACAGCACATATGTTACATTTGCTTCCCTGCCATTGCATTCAGCAGCCAGGAGCAGCTTAGTATGGGAATGGAGGCACATGTGTCCAACCACCCCCCCTCCTCTCATGTGATAACACTGGGACATAGCACAGGGAAGGAAGGGAGGTGTTAGTCAATAATATCTAAGCTCAAATTCAAGATCAGTTTGAGCTTGCAGTGGTTTGTGGTTCTTTGCACTCCATGGGGTATTTAAAGGTGAGGGAGTTAAAGGAAAGGAACATTTTATGTGTTGTTTTTGCCAGCATGGACAGTAGATCTAGCAGCTGTTCATTTTGATACTGAACTGTCTCTTTCATCTTGCAGATTGGTCCCCCAAAGGAAGTGCAGCTGTGCAGAGCAAAGTTTGCCCGGTCAAGTGACCCAGCAGTCAGCCAGAAGTTTATGCTGGACAGAGTATTTAACCCTGAAGGAAAAGGTTTGCCACCCTTACAAGGATACAAATATGCCTGCTGGTCTCCTGTGGGCTGCGATGCCAATGGACGATGCCTTTTAGCTGCGCTTACTTTGGATAACCGATTGACTGTTAATGCAAATGTTGACAGACTGCAGTGGAAGCAGTTGGCAGACCTAACAGAAATGTATGGTGAACGTTTAGCTCAGAGCAACTACACAGCGACTGAGAATGCCACCTATTCACAATTGGAGGATTTTCCCGAGTTCCAAAGGCGGCACAGCATGCAGACCCCCGTATGGATGGAGTGGTCCAGCATATGCACTACCCAGGAGATCATGGAGAACAACACTTGCCGAGATGTTGGTACTGTTCTGTTAGCCGTACTCTTTGAAAATGGAGATGTTGCCATTTGGCAATTTCAGCTCCCCATAAACAACCACACCTCCATTATTTCCTGCAACACCATCGTGTCTGGGGTTGAGTCACCAAGCGTCTTGGCATGGTGGGAGTATGAACACAGCAATCGTAAAATGAGTGGACTGATTGTAGGCAGCAGTTTGGGCCCTGTCAAAATTATCCCAGTGAATTTGAAGGCCGTCAAAGGATACTTCACATTACGGCAGCCGGTGATCCTTTGGCAAGAAGCTGACCGTTTGCCAGTCAACAGTATTAAATGTATAGCTCTTTATCACCCTTACCAAAAGTGCAGCTGCAGCCTTGTGGTTGCTGCCCGTGGTTGCTATGTTTTTTGGTGTTTGTTGTTGATATCGAAAGCAGGACTCAATGTTCACAATTCCCATGTAACGGGACTGCACTCCTTACCTATCATTTCTTTGACTGTTGACAGGCAGAATGGAACCATTTATTCCTGTTCTGTTGATGGAAAAGTTCAGCAGTTGATTCCTATTTTCACAAACCTTGCTTTAAAGTTTGAACATCAACTCATTAATATGTCAGAGATGTTTGGGTCAGTGAAAGCTCATGGCATTGCTGTAAGTCCTTTTGGGGCTTATCTTGCTTGCATCACCTCTGAAGGCATGAAGAATGGAATTCATCCAGTAAACAAGAACTTTCAGGTCAACTTTGTTTCTCTCAAGACATTTGAGGAAGCAGCAGCTCAGCTTCTTGAGAGCTCTAGCCAAAACCTCTTCCGGCAGATGGATCTCACAGACATTGTACGTTGGAAGATCCTGAAAGACAAGGTCATCCCTCAGTTTTTGATTGATGTCCTGGACAAAAAGGTAGATGGAGGTCCATTGTACTTTTGGAGGTTCCGACTTTTCCTTCTGAGAATTTGGTTCCAGTCTTTTAAAAAACTGACTTATGAAGCAATGCAGAAACAACCTTACCATGAATCAAAGGTTTCCAGGAAGGAAGATACCGCTGTGGAGGCTAGCATTTTTGAGGAAGAAAAGGATCAGGATGAGGACAGACATGATGATGAGCATGGCTCTGGTAAAACATTAGAAGACAGTGCAGAGTCTGAATCTTCTCCAACTGATGAAAGTTTTTTGGAAATCCAAAAGAAAATTGAAGCTGTGGAGGCACATTTGACCAAGGAACACATGAAGCATGTTTTGGGAGAAGTCTACCTGCACACTGGCATCACGGAATATACCAGTATTCCTACCCGTGGTGTCTGTGCCTATCTGATGGCTAACAGAGACGACGATGACAGGACAGCCCAGGTGCACCATCTACCCTTTTTTCATTGTTGCTGTTCAGTCATTTGCTTTTTTGCCCAGCATTTCCTGGGTTCATGTTGCAATAACATACTACAAAGCTGTTTACAGAATACATACAGCCACTTCTGGCTTTTTCTACTGGTGAGAACCTGTTGAGAACTTCAGTGTCCCTGCCACAGTCATATAATCATAGTCTAGGGCTAATCATGTAAGAAACTAATTCACCTTCTTGTGTGTTTCATCAGGGGTGTGGGCATTTTTTAAAAACCTAATTGTTCAAGTAATGAAATCTGTGTCCCAATCTACCTGTTCTGATAAAAAAAAAATAATAATAATTTTAACCAAAACCGTATTTAAATGTGAGGTGCTTTTAAGAATGTCTGGTGCTTTTAAAAAACGAAAGGGGCTTTATGGCAAATTAAACTTTAAATGTTTTTAACATTGAACTCCTACTCGCCTCCCTGCCTGTCTTCAGCACCGCACTTGGGGACAAGCAGGGAGGGGAGAGACCTTGCAGTATGACAAGCACTGATAGGGTGCTCATCAAGAAAGGGGAGTGTTGGGCTCTCTTAACGCTCAGCAGAAGCTCATCTGCTGAGCGAGTAAGTAAAGCGCTGGCCCCAATAAGAAAAAACAAAACTTTATTTTGCAGGTTACCCTCGCGCATTGAAACACTTTGGGTGCTCAGCCAAATCAAGCTCCGATGTCTGCTGTTAGGCCCCGTTCACACCTGGATGTTTTGGAATTGTCAGTATCACTGCGATTCTGCCCGCAATCTCAAAACATCACTACAATCGCAAAATGCAGGTTCTGGTGTCATTTTCTATATGTGTCGCGCTCTACAATGTATATTAAATCATAAACATATAACACAAAGTAATATAAAGGTGTAGAAATTAATCCATTAGCTTATATATCCAAAGAAAACAGAGTGGACTTTCTAATATTTTATGATTTATATATTTTTAAATATTTATATGCTTTTTGCACAGCTATTGCACTTTTTGAAGCACATTTTTTTTTTTTTTTCTCACTACTGTCTTCTTTGGATATATAAGCTAATGGATTAATTTCTACACCTTTATATTACTTTGTTATATGTTTATGATTTATTTAAATAGTTGTGGAGCATGACACATATAGATATAATTTCAATTTTATTTTTTACGCAGTTTTGAGTATGTGTTTAGTGTTGATGCATCACAATTTTATCGATATTTGTTAATTCTCACACTTTTATAAAATTTTTGCACAGAGAGAATACCACATTTTAGCTCACGAGTATCACTTTCATTTCATTTTCAGTGGCACCTTAAGCGCTGTGAGGATATGCCGCAATTATCGTGCGATTTTACAATCATGGCAAATCGTGTGAAGCGTGTCGCCCAAAAAGGAGCAGGAGCTTCTTTGGGGCAACAAGCTTCACCCAATGTGATTTTCCATGATTGTCATGGAATTTACTGCACGGTTTTTCACATTGCGTGAATCTTGTCGCCTGAAAAGGAGCAGAAGCTTTTTTTTGGGTGACCAGCTTCACACAATGCGTTTTGCCATGCAAAAATTGCGGCAAAACTGCACCACGTTTTAGGTGCCATTGAACATAATGACACCTGAACCTGCGTTTTGCGATTGCGTGCAGAATCGCGGTGATTCTGTTGCAATTCCAAAACGCCCAGATGTGAATGGAGCCTCCCTGGTTCACACATATGCAATCCTGGATGCATTTTGAAACGCACAGATTCGCATGAAAGGCTAGATGTGGTTCACACAGATCCAATCCACACTCCATCCATATCACTCATGTTTAAGACACAGCAAGTCCTCTATTGTTCAAAGGTAACGTAACACATTGGCCGTTGCCTCTCACAGCCAAGGATATCAGGCAGTCAAGTGAAGTGGTTCATGTGCTGAAATTTTGGATATAGCTGCCTCTAAAGCTGGTTGGAGACCTGGCCTCTGACAGGTAACAGCCAGAATGAGAGGTTGCCTTTTAAAGTGCATCTCTTGTGTAGTGAAGCATTGCTTGTGTGTGTGTTTTTTTTTTTTTTTCTTCTCCTTGTTTCCAGTCCTTTATCTCTTGCAGAGCTACAGCCATTTTATTCTGTTCTTCTACTTCCTGGTAGGTTGGATGCCTGTGACACCCCTGGCTGCTATGTAGCTCTGCAGGGAAATGCTAGTGGTGTCTTGTCCAAAGCTGGAGCCAGAGCATGCTGCAGGAAGACACAGGCATCTAAGACACCTAGAAGTGTTGGATGCTGAAAATTCTAGCGATGGCCATAGCTCTTTGGTAGAGCGAATATTGTAGGCAAAATAGATGGTAAAGATATAAGTGTATTTTAATATGCTGTGTGCTGGTGTCTCTTTAATGTTTTAGGATATTTGTAAGATTTATATTCAGCTGTGTCTCCTGAATGTTTTAAGCTTTGCATGCTTTGTTGGGGAGATCTGCCCATTCTATGTATGGCTGCTGTAAGGAGGTAAGGTTGTGGAAGAGTTTTTTGTTACCTGCAGAGATGTCCTGAGGTGCAGAATGACAGCTGACTCAGCAAGGGAGAATGTCACCAGCACACCGAGGATCACCAATATGGGTCCAAAAGTTTTAATGAACGATCACATAGTTACAGCAAGGCAACGTTTCGGAGTCTCGCAGGACCCCTTCATCGGGCATGTGACCCATGCCTGATGAAGGGGTCCTGCGAGACTCCGAAATGTAACTGTAAATGTAAACTCCTTGCTGTAACTGTGATCATTCATTAAAACTTTTGGACCCATATTGGTGATCCTCGGTGTGCTGGTGACATTCTCCCTTGCTGATTTTGTTCGGTTCCAGCTGACGGTCGCTGCAGCATCCACTTATACACACACACACACACACACACACACAGCCATTTTTAATGCAGGAATGTGTGCGTTTGGATTGTACACTGACAGATGAGTCTGTCACACCTCTTCGATGTGTTTAATATCACATGCTCATTTGTGTTTCTATGTTTTGTACTTTTTTTTTTTTTTTTGTTCATACATTATAAAAAATGGGGGAGAACCATTGCAAATAGGAATTTTACATAGTGTAGGTGTATTTAAAATGCATGTTACATGTGTGCATTTACCATTTATTACATTGGGCCTGCTAAACACCATAAATGCATAAAACCGCTGCATGTCCATTTCTTCAAAATGTTAAAAAATAAACTAGTGCTTTGCCTTGAATGTGCAATGCAGTGGGCTTTCTTTGATGTCCTTATGCCTAGCTGCAAATGCAGACCTTCCCTTAGCTCTCCTGCTGTTAAATTTGAGCTGCATGCTGACATCCCCTTAGATCTCCCGCTGTTCCATTGAGCTACATGCTGACCTCCCCTTAGATCTCCCGCTGTTCCATTGAGCTACATGCTGACCTCCCCTTAGATCTCCTGCTGTTCAATTGAGCTGCATGCTGACCTCCCCTTAGATCTCCCACTGTTTTATTGAGCTGCATGCTGACCTCCCCTTAGATCTCCCGCTGTTCCATTGAGCTACACACTGACCACCCCTTAGATCTCCCGCTGTTCCATTGAGCTACATGCTGACCTCCCCTTAGATCTCCTGCTGTTCAATTGAGCTGCATGCTGACCTCCCCTTAGATCTCCCACTGTTTTATTGAGCTGCATGCTGACCTCCCCTTAGATCTCCCGCTGTTCCATTGAGCTACACACTGACCACCCCTTAGGTCTCCCGCTGTTCCATTGAGCTACATGCTGACTTCCTCTTAGATCTCCTGCTGTTCTATTGAGCTGCATGCTGACCTCCCTTTAGATCTCCCGCTGTTCCATTGAGCTGCATGCTGACCTCCCCTTAGATCTCTCCCCCTGTTCCATTGAGCTGCATGCTGACCTCCGCTTAGATCTCCTGCTGTTCCATTGAGCTGCATGCTGACCTCAGCTTAGAACTCCTGCTGTTCCATTGAGCTGCATGCTGACCTCCCCTTAGATCTCTCCCCCTGTTCCATTGAGCTGCATGCTGACCTCCCCTTAGATCTCCTGCTGTTTGAGCTGCATGGATGTGCACTAAGCATTTTTAGGTATTTCTGAAAAAATTTAAATGTCTTCTTGCAGTATATTGCTTTTGTTTTTATGGCACAAAAAAGGAGTGAACAGTGGTGTACAGACCTCACCTCTTCCACAGTCTTAGTTGTTGGATCTACAATTGCAACTAGTGTGGGATGCACAGGATTTGAGTATGTCTTGAACTTGACACATGACACTTATGAAATACTCTGAAACATATATACATAGACAAACCACTTACTGGGTCTGCCCACCTGCTCAACCCCTTTTCTTCATCAATTTGAGTAGAATTTGCTAAGACTGAAGTAGAGTCTGCAGCAGCTGTGCATGGCAACCAATCAATGTCTATCTTTTATTTTCAAAGCTTAAAGTGGTAGTAAACTGTATATAAAATAAAAATTCTAGCACATTATGAAAGACGTACCTTAAAACGAAGCCCTCCAGCGGTGCGCTGACGGGGCTTCCATCTTCACCCAGTCTTCCTTCGGGGTTCATATAGTGAGCTTGGTGTAGAGTTATTCACCCTGAGGTCATCAGAGGACAAGGGGGCACTCTTTACGTCTGGAGGAAAAGAGATTTAACCTCCAAATACGGAAAGGTTTCTTTACAGTAAGCGCTGTGAAAATGTGGAATAGACTCCCTCAAGAGTTGGTTCTGGCCAACTCAGTGGATTGCTTTAAAACAGGTCTGGATTCTTTCTTGGATACACAGAATATAACTGGATACTAACATTTATAGGTAAAGATGATCCAGGGAATATCCCATTTGCCTCTCAGGATCAGGAAGGATTTTTTTTCCCCTGCAGGAACAAATTGGATCATGCTTTGCTGGGTTTTTGCCTTCCTCTGGATTAACTGTGGGTATAGGATTTATAACTTTTTTTTTTTTTAAATGGTTGAACTAGATGGACTTTTGTCTTTTTTTCAGCTAGACTAACTATGTTCGTAGGCTTCGTTTGTTTGAATGGCCAAGATGCGATGACGACACTCTCGCGCATACGCATGGGAGTCATGGCCACGGCACAGAGCTCTGAAGGGAAGGAATGAGTATACTGCCCCTTCAGAGCGCAAGCGCCAGTGACATCACCGGCTGGAGATTCCTTATACCTACAGGTAAGCTTTGTTCTAAGCTAACCTTTAGGTACAAGTGTCCAAGCTGTGTTTACTACCGCTTTAACTGGACAAACAAAAGATAGAATCTGATTACAATGCTCTGGATTCTGTGTGCTCTAACTTGTTAAATTATTAAATTCCATCTATTTATGTTTATTATAACACTTTTGGTAACTCAGTTTCTGTATTGGCGTCATGCAGGTTCTCATCGGGCATGTTGAAAAGAAGATGAACAAGCAAATGTTCCCAGAGTACTGCACTCTGTGTAAGGAAGTTCTTCCATTCACTGATTGTAAAAAGGCTGTCTGCCCTAATGGACATCTCTGGCGCAGGTAGGCCCACTCAAAGTGGACCTGTCATTTCTCTGTTTGCTTTATTAATTTCATGCATTTGGCTACTTTTGATTCTACCTCTTTGCAGCTGGCTTGATTTTCAGCTAAAAGTATGGCCTACATTGTCTGTCTGAAGAAAACAACTTGCCTAATGCTGTTTTTTCTATTAGCTTTCCTACTTGCAAATCAATTTTTATTGAAAAAAAATCCCCCAAAAAACTAATGGCAATGATACAAACATGTCAATATTGCAAAGCAACAGAAATGAATCAAACAGAGTGGATAATCTATCCAGACATCTACACAAGGGAGTATTCAGTTATATAATGTAGTGAAAGAAAGTATGTCTCTTGCAGTGAATTGCCATTTTTTCAATAAAACGAGTACCATTTTATACAAGAATTTACCTCCATTTAGCCATGCCACTTGTCCCACTCTTGCTCTGCTTCACACCCTTTTATTCATAATTAGTGGAAAGGTTAGGCAAAGGGGATCTGTAAAATAGAGGGCAGCACAGTGGCTAAATGGTTAGCACTTCTGCCTGGCAGCACAAGGGTCGTTGGTTTCGAATCCCAGCCATGGCAGCTCCTGCCTGGAGTTTGCATGTTCTCCCTGTGCCTGCGTGGGTTTCCTCCGGGTACTCCGGTTTCCTCACACCCTCCAAAGACATGCTGGTAGGTTAATTGGATCCTGTCTAAATTGGACCCAATATATGTATGTATGAATGTAAGTTAGGGACCTTTAGATTGTACACCCCTTGAGGGTTAGGGACTGATGTGAATGTACAATATATATGTAAAGCGCTGCGTAAATTGATGGCGCTATATAAGTACCTGAAATAAATAGAGGATCCACCATTGCTGAGTTGACTTTGATGGTACAGTCTCCATGATTGTCATTATCATTCTTCCTTGACTGCATGTTGAGTCAGTGAGCTTGGACAAGCATGTGACAGTCAGGTGCTGGAGGCACTTCTGAGACACATGCTTGATTACAGCCCCTAAAAATGAACTTCAGGCACAAAAAAACACTAATTATTGCAGTTATATTTATTAAAATAAACTTGTCTTATTGCAACTAGTGAAAATTGTCAGAATTTTTGACTTGATTTCAGCCTAAGCTCCCCGGTAAAACGAAGGACTCTGGGAGGGGGAAGCACTTGGGGCCAGTCAGGTAATAACCTCTTGAATCAGTTGCTACTTCTTCAAAGCTTATTCACACTCTGGGGACAGGGAGGTGACCCACGCTAAAGAACAATAGTATAATTGCTAACCCTGCTTAGCCCTCCTGATTTACACTTACAGAGGTCACCTGCTTACTTACTTGAATAGGCAGCTGCTGTTTGTCCCGATTTTTTTTTTATCCAGCCAAACTTTACCGCTCTTCTTGCCTGTACAATAAGCCCTCAAAACCAAGTGTAGGGCGAACTACCGAACATCTACAGTGGTGGAATTTCGCACTTCATATCTAATAATTTTTTCTGGGAAGATGGACCACATCTAGACATGAACTATTGATTGTGTTGTTGCAGGTGTTCCTTGACGTACCAGGCCTGTCAGACTCTGGAATACCGGAGGTGCCTACTACATGACAGTATTGCAAGGCATTCAGTTCCAGAAGGTAAATATGTTATCATTGAGGATACTTCACAACCCCTTTAACAGCAGATTGAGATTGGACAAAAAGTCAGAAATGTGTTGGTGTACAAATTTCAGAGCTTTATCTGGAAAATTCTTGTTCTGCCTAGTTACTAATAGTTCGTAATATAGACCAAGTAGTTGAAGTAGAATTCCCTGTTTACCTTGACTTTAAATTGTTTGTTTTTGCCAAGATGGCCCAAACTAACTCTACGCATTATTAAATGATACAGGCGCTGTGTGAGTTGTAATATAATGTGAATGTACAATATACACTAAGGCTGTGGCCATACACTATACAATTTTCTGCCCCATTTCCTTTTCTTCAACTATGTAGTGCAAGGGCCTGCCTAATTGGCTACAAGTGTTGTTTAGGTTTGACCTCATATTATATGGTTTTTGGTAAATCTAAAGCAAAATTCTCAAGAAAATTGTATAATGTATGGCCAGCCTACATTGCCAAAGGTATTGGAACACCTGTCCAAATCATTGGATTCAGGTCTTCCAATCACCTCCATGGCCACAGGTGTATAAAATCAAGCACCTAGGAATGCAGACTGCTTCTATAAACATTGACATTTCCTTGTTACTAAATATTCCACGGTCAACTGTTAGTGGTATTATAACAAAGTGGAAGCAACTGTGAACAACAGCAACTCAGCCACGAGGTGGTAGGCCACGTAAAATGACAGAGTGGGGTCAGCGCATGCTGAAGTGCACAGTGTGCAGAAGTTACCAACTATCTGCAAAGTCAATAGCTAAAGACCTCCAAACTTCATGTGGCCTTCAGATTAGCACAACAACAGTGCGTAGAGAGCTTCATGGAATGGGTTTCCATGGCCGAGCAGCTGCATCCAAGCCTTACATCACCAAGTGCAATGCAAAGCATCAGATACAGTGGTGTAAAGCAAGCCACCACTGGACTCTAGAGCAGTGGAGGTGTGTTCTCTGGAGTGAGGAAAGGAATCCATTAGATTTATTCCGTTCAGCTTCTTTATGTGTATGGCTTGGTTAAGACTGCACAGAGGTTAACTTATCTACTGTCTGAGCTCAGTGCAGATAAGATGATCTCTCCAGGTTTCTGCAACAGAGCGAGTCTTCATAGAACTGTTAAACAATAGTAGCACAGTCAGGATAACGGGAAAGAAAAGTAAAGGTCTTGTTTATTGTACTGTTTTGCATGCTCTTCTCTTGTTGTAGCGACCTGAAGCGAGTATGTCTGGCTAGGAATAAAATACTCTTTCACCCTCAGGGGCAAAGAAGAAGCTAAATAATAGGAACAGTTACTTGTCCTGACAGTAAAGTGTCATTTATGTGAACCTGCATAAATATAGGTAAATCGGGGGACAAGTAACTATCCCTAACCAGTAAGGCCTCATTTATGTGATCATTACGTACCCATGTAAAGGTATAATATACTAAATACAGTGTAAGAAGTGGTGCAGTTCACATGGTTAATGGTGTTTTATTTGAAACATTTTAATCTGTATTTTCAGTGCAAGCTTGGATGTGCATTTTGGCAGACTAATTTGTAGGAAACGCATGTTAATTACTGTTAATATATTTTAGTGGGCTTTTGGCCTCTGCTTACCTTTTTTTGGGCACAGCTCTCTCAATACAGGTGCCATGTTAATGCACACAAATGCCTGTAATAATGAGGGCAAAAAACACCATTTTTTGCTAATTCCTCCAGTATGCTGGGGAAAACTGCATAATGTGCAGCTCTTTACCAATTCATGAGTGGTGGTTATGGTTACTGCAAATGCACCTTTATGACTGGTTCTCCTTAAAGTTGAAAACTAATGTGCTAATTCAGTATAGCTATTCACGGAGCACAGCTGAAAAGCAGTAGCCAAAAACAACCAAACATACTTCTTTTTGCTGTGGGCAGGTTACCAAGGTGTGAATTTTGATTAGTTGTCATAGTCATTATTTAATAAGCCTGGGAATATTTAAAGGATAAATTCACCTTTCGTAACCTGTTACACCCATATTCAAGGTGTAACATGCTACTGTGGGACCGGCCCCTGCACCCCCAATCTCTCGTTGTGACAGCTAGTCTTCCCCGCTAGCTGTCACAATTTAAAAAAAAAATGTGGTTGTGCGGGGCTCCTCCTGCCGACGACCACTCCATTCATTCACAGAGTTCTACAAGTCCCAAGAGCCTTTACAGCTGTCGATTTGTAATTCTCAATGTAATACCAGGGCGCTGTTGTTCATTGATTCTTCCTGTTATTGTAAAACTGCCTGCCCATATGAGGTACGAGCAGACAGTTCACACTGACAATCTACAGGAGACCTGCATGGTACCAGTGATCTGATCACCGCTGCAATGCTTTCCAGTATCCTAAAACATAAAATAGTAAATGCACATCTTTTTTACCTTCATGTGCTTTTACTATTTTTTGTTAAAAGGCAAACTTATCATTTTTAAAAGCTTTTTCTTTTTAATGGTGTAATAATGTATTTGACTGGATCCCATCACGTTCTCTGCTGATATCTTTATATTTTGTTTTCTAGATCTGGATTGGATTATGAGATTGCTGAAAGCACCTTGCATACTTTGTGACTCTCCTGTTTTTTAATACCGCCTTCTGGTTTTTATTGTTGCCCTCTGTTACCAAGCACAGATCTTCACACCAGCTGGGATGTACCCCTGAAGGATGTGGTGACTTTTTCTTTAGGTAACAAATACAGTATAGAATCCAGATTATTTGGTATACTATGAAAGGAACGTTCTGTGACTCAAAAAGCCAATTGACATCTTGTTGTGCCACGTGTTTAAACAACTTCTGTCTCTGAAAAAAAAAAAAAAGCCAGATTGCGGCTTAAGCCCTGGTTCACACTGAATGCGACTTGGCATGCGATTTGCATGCCCTGCGACTTGCAAATTGCATACCAAGTCGCACCCTATTGGCCGCAATTGGAGCGGTCATATTGGTGCAGTTCCGACTTGGTCAGAGCCACACCGATTTCTAAAGTAGTACATGCACTACTTTTGGTACGATTCACATAGACATCTGTATCAGATGTCTTGCAAATCGCACCTGACATCGGCGGGTCCCCGACTTTGAAATCTGTAGACTTCACTGTAAGTCCCATGATTTCAAAGTCAGGCTTGATGTGAACAGAGTGTAAAGGGCACTTACCTAACAAAAGGTGTAAAGTCTGGGCCTCTGTGTATTTTAGGGCTGCATAGAGGTTTTTTTCTTTTTTATTTATGTAATTTGTTTTTACGTTTACACACTATCAGAACATTTTTGCCATTTTCAAGATTGTAAGTTTTGACCAGGCTTCTAAATCAAGCTACAACCTGCATGCAAAAATATTTGTCACTGTTCTTTGCAGGTCCTAATTATACATGAAAAGATTTGAATTATTATTAATGTTTGTGACCGGTCCTTCTTAGGATATTTGAGGCAGAGATCTCTTATGACACCGTAGGAGTTTCATCTCTTCTGCTTAGCAAAACGTGTCGGACTTGACACCTGCCTGTCTTTGACCTTACAGATATATAGTAGAGCTTGTACAGAGCAGGGAAGGGAACTCTTCTTTTACATCATAGCGCCTGAATTGTTTTTCCCCCCTGAATCAGACCTGTATGGCTGTGACCTGTTGAGGGGGAGGAATGGCCAAACACAAACAAAAGTTCAAAACCTGTAATAGGCACAATTTAAAAAACAGAGCTGTCTGATTTCACAGTCCAGTACTAAAATTTGTCACAAGGCTTAGTTGATGTTTAGGTATATACAGTACATTTTCAGCAGCCGCTCATTTAAAAGTCAAACTGTATTTTAGTTATATTGAGGCACCTTTTTAAAGTCAACCTGTATATAACTTGATATAACATTGTAACTAATTTGAGCCTCCACATAAGTTTCTGGAAATCTTGATAGGTGAAAACAAAATACGTGCACTGCTTTTGCAGACCTACTCCTGGAAACGGCAGTTGCCTAGATAGCATGCCACTGGCTGTTTTGGGTAATGGACTCAGAATGACCATGCAATCAGTTATATGTAGGCTGCCTATATATTCCTTCTGTGAAAGATGTGTTGTAAATGTTGGCAAGATTGCATTCAGGAGCTTCTAAACCAGGGCGCACACTCCCTGCAATCATTATTATTATTATGCAGGATTTATATAGCGCCAACAGTTTGCTCAGAGCTTTACAATATAGCAGGAGACAATACAGGAACAATACAGTTCAATACAAGAGGGATAGGAGGGCACTGCTCCTTGGAGCTTACAATCTAAGAATCTAGTTGGATTTATGGCTTTCTCCCCGTGGGTATCCCACAATGCCTTTCTGTTGTACACCATGCAGTTTGGGGTGGCTAGGGCTCCAGCAAAGTTGAGGATTGCAAGTAACATAACTCGTTTTGGGGACTTCTGGGCTCACTATAAAAAAAAAAAAAAATCCTTGCTAGAAATTACAGAAATGCTTATTGGCTAGTGTTAGATACATTTTCATGTGTTCACGTTTGTGAGTTCTGAAATTAGCTTTATGATTTCAGAGGTGATAAAACTTATTCCTTGCCTGCCCAAGTCCCTGACTGCCAGAAGAGGACTTTTTATTATTTCCGTTCTTTACGTAACAGCGATGATACCATAGCACTTAGTCACTCTGTAATATTGGTGCTTGTAGTTAACTCCATTTAAATGAGGTAGGTACATCCTTGAGAGGAAGGCCTTAAAACACCACGATGAAGATCTACACCAATTGATATGTGCACTTTACATGAACACGCCTGTAGATGAGCACATGTATGTGTTAGTTCTAGGTGTATAAAACCACAGCATACAGTATGGAAAGCAGGCATCTGACACACAGGGGTGTTGGATGCCAAAGGATCTTTGGCCTGTGTAGGCCTGCAAGAGTGGGGAAAATTGTTGTTATTGTCAGCGGGACTGGTCAACATTATTACTTTAGATATTAGTCTGTTCAGAAATAACTGACATCTTCAAGCATTGTCGTACATATTTGGGTCTGCTTTAGAGGAAACCTTTCTTGAGAGAAACATAGAGGTTGCCATTGTTTGGTTTTCATTCTGCAAATGCTAGTTGAATGGATGTCATGACCACCCTCTATACAGAGCTAGAATTGTGATTTCCCCCCCCCCCCCCCAAATTTGTATACTTGACCTGGGTCAGTAACTCAAACTACTGAGGTCGGAGGATCAGCATGTCAGCCAGACAACTAGCATCTTTAGGAGGGCAGCCCACCATATCGTTCTGCTTTTTTTTTTTTAAATCTGCTTTTGGTGGGTTTATTTATTTATTTATTTTTTGCCAAAGCCCCTGAACTTGGCTCAACAAAAGCTTATGTATCCATGTACACATAGGCTTTTAGCAAAGTTTAGGAGCAGCAAAGTTTAGGGGCAGTTAAACGTTACTCTCCTGAACGCAGAAGAATCGCATTCAGGAGAGGAATGTTTTGACCAAAAAAACTCTAAACACATCTAAACTTTAGCCGCGTTTAGTGCTTGGGTGTTTATTCATATCAAAAGTAAATACTCTGGCCGATCAAATGAATGAACGTCCAAGCACTAAACATGGTATTGTGTTTTACACGTGGTTTTGCTGCATTTTTTGCCGCGTTTAGCGGTTTCCTGTTGCCAGGAGAGCTAATGTCTAGGGGAGTTCATGTGTACATGAGGCCTGAAGGTCTTCTTGTCATTAGTAGTTCTTAGAGGCAGCCATATTCTAGGCTTGGTGCCAGCTTACTAGATGACATCACTTATCCACGCAGAAAGCAGTGCTACTTCATGAAGGGCGGGCTGTAGTAAACTGATATGATTGGTTGGTTGTGGTAACACTGTTTCATTGTATTTATCAATGTACCCTTCCTTTGTAAATACTCCTCTGTGTCTGGTCTTGTGTTTCTGTATATTTATAGAAAAAGTGTATATATTTTTTGTCATAAAGTGAAATAAAACCAGTTTTATAATATCTGTATAAGTCCAATATCTTATTTCAGTGCATCTCCTAAACCCATTCTGGGAAATTATGTAGACTGCCAGAGCTGAACTTGTCTTTTGAAATTGCTAATTGCCTAGCTACTATGCTTATCAAACTGCTTTAATACTCTCGAGTCCTGCATACATTTCAGAAGTCATACTTTTCTCTTATTTGTTGTATCCTAGTACTGGGTCAGAGTATGAAGGTCAGAGACAGCTAAGCGACTAGTATTCTTAGATGGAGGTCAAGAGTGGTAAATGAGCTTTAAAACAAGCCATGACCTCTGTAGCAGCAGGCACTGTGGAAATATTCAATCTCAAATTTTACAGCAGAAACACTGAAGATGTCCAAGTCTTCTTTTTTTTTTTTCCTCAGTTCACTTTGCTCCCACAAGCCAGCTGTGATTTGTCAGCCCAGCTTTCACCACCCAGCAGTGACTCAGCAGCTTAGCGTACTCTTCTTCCTCCTCCCAGCAGTTACTCAGCAGCTCAACCCATACTTCCCCTCCCCTTCGCTCCCAACAGGGGCTCAGCAGCCTTCCTGCTTCTGATCTTTAAAGGAGAAGTACGGCCAAAGCTCACTTGGCTTTACTTCTCCTATGGATCACAGGAGTGCTGTTCATTCTGCACTCCTGTGATCCATTTTTAGCAGACAATGGACTAAAGTCTGATGTCGGCTGACATCACTAAGCCGATCTAGGCTGGGGAAAGATCGCGACCATATGGTCCGGATCCACCCAGGAGCATGGACCTGCACCTGACTCTGCTGAGAGCCTGAGCCAGCCCCTCTCTCCACAGCCCAAAGCTCTAGGGCAGAGCAGACTGTGGTGAGTGCTCAAAGCAGCAGGGAGAATTGAGCAATCGGTGGTGTCTGATCACTCAGTTCTCACCCTTGGAGCTGGAGGGGGACAGATGCAGCATCAAGCCGAGGTAGGTACAAATTTAAAAAATAAAAAACCTGAGAGTTTCTCTTTTGATGTAAAGACAGAGCAGATTATGTTGGGAGGGAAGATGAGCTGGTGAGTCACTGCTGGGAAGTGGGAGCAGGAGGAGTGCAACTGCTGAAAGAATAGACTTGGATAATTTCAGTATTTTATCTATAGTATAAATATTAAAGTGGAAGAAGAACCTAACTTGAACTATTTTTTAAAAAATTTCCTCTCCTCTCCTACCTATCCTGCAATCCCAATAAAAGATGTGTGTACTTGCCTATTTTTAATCCAATCCAGTCCGATCACCGGATGCCACAGTTCTGACTCCACTGTGTCACTAAGCTGCTGCTGCAAGGGAGAGGAGCAAGCAATAACAGCTGGGCTATGGGTGACGTCATGACTTCATGAATTCACACCCATTGAGTGCTCTCCTGCACAGGGGAACCGGAGCTGCAGGATCATGTGACCAGATCGGACTGGACCAGATCTGTGGGAAGTGGGCTAAATCTAGATTATAGGAATGTATGCATAGCTGAAATATCAGATTTTGATGGACTGATCTTTTAATTGAGCTGCATCTTTTTCATGCTGTAGAAATAGGAAGATAGCCCAGCTGCCGCACACCTCACCTGGCCCAAGTAGGTAAAAAGCAGCCTCCACTCGATTCATCCAAGCCATGCCTCCAACATGTTTCT